ATTAATCTCCAACTGCAGGATATCTACCAACCGCCCCACTCGGTCAGATGTGACACAAGGCCGAATTTAATGTGGGGTATCCAAGTCCATAGGCTCGGCCAAAAATTTCCCGTAGACCACGTATAAAACGCGGTCGGGTAACTGTTTCCAAAGACGAGACTGCCCTTCGACATAGCCTCGTCTGGAGATTCTCTCTGCCCGGAGTCAGAGAGTTTAACCAGCACAGCTGGAGACGAAGCTCAGACTGCAAACCAACATACAGTATATACTATAAGTGTTTATGTAAGTGGGGACATACCCATTATCGTCCGTAGATATGCTACAACAGTTACACGATTCCTTAAGGTTTTTGCTGACTGCGTTTTATTCGAACTTTTAATTCTTGCCAAAGATTTTCAATAGAATTCAAGTCATTGAAGACCATATCATTGTCGGAGTTAGCTCCTCCTAGGCTCCTTAAACCGGAAGAGAACAGGTCATTTCGACCTTGACCTCTCGTTTATGCTGTTAACCCGTGGTAGAGACTAGAAGTTACCTTTTCAGTTTAGTTATATTACAAACCTAGTCGTAATATACTTCTAGGCATTTTTAGGCTATGGTTTTCTTTTAGCTAAGCTATACTTATTTTTTAGATAGACTTTACTGTGTCAGTATACCAATCCTCTTGCTAGTCTCCCTTACCACAAGACAGTCACATCTCGCTAAATTTACGGTCGGCGACTGAAACGGTATTAAGTTACGCTCCCATTTTTTTTTGTCTGCCATCTTGACGATAGTTGGAAACTTTCCTTCTCTCTCTCCTTCGCGTACTACTCCTGGCTCCTTGGCCCTGTTCGACGCTCGGCATTCTGTCCCTACTGGCTGCCTGCACGTCGTCCATAACCTTTCCCGTACACTATGTTAGTAATTATTACGGGAGGTTACTAATATCGGACTCGACCGGCAAACACGCAACGCCTGCACTGGACCTTTGACATGCCCGAACAACGCCAGCTCCTCTTTTCTTCCAACACATCAAATTGGCATCCCGGCAACGACCAACATCAACCTCAAACTACAATGACCAGCAGCGATTATCTGCAACGACCGACATCAACTTCAACTACAGCGATCATCTGCAACGACCAGCAGCGACGACCTGCATGACCAGCAGCGATCACTTGTAACGACACCTGCAACCACCAACAACGATCATCTGCAACGACCACCTGCATGACCAGCAGCGATCACCTGTAACAACCAACCTTGATCTGCACCGGAACATCTGCATCTCTACCGTTCCGACCACCTTTATTTCTTTTTTAGAATAAATTAGCTTATATCATATATCCTCGTTCTGTCGTCTATGTTGTTTCACCTTGTCAGATTTAAGGTCTTCGAAAATGTTAGAGGGCCTCTCGTGACCTCATCACCCTTTTGTGATACGCGGGGGTCCGCTACAGCATCTTCTTTTTCTGAACCCACGCAGTCACTGACTTAGACGTATCTTTGGGATTATTGTATTGCTAGAAAGTAAATCTTCTCCCTAGATGAAGATTTTGCGCTGATAATTGTAGATTTTCATCTAGAATTTTGATATAGCCTACAGATTTCATTATTCCTCTTATTGCAATTAATTGTCTAGTCCCCCTAGTGAGTCGTGTTCTCTTTAATCATGTCCACTGGGTTTCAGTTCGCTTTCTTACCATGAGATCCGGGTTCAAATCTCACCATGGTCGATTTATCAGGCAGGCGACTTCCTGATGTTATCGGACTCAATCGAGGTTGATCTCAGCATGCGGTACCTTTGGAAAGTGCCTAAAAACCATACCACGGCCTTGTGAGTGAAATTGGGTAGATGGAACTCTTGTGGGCCGTCGATAATTATGCTAGCACGGAGCCACAAGTCATCGTAGCCGAGGATTTGAGTGTGCTGGCCTTGTTCAGATTGTTGATCACGCTAGATAACATGCTCTCTCCCGTATTGTAAACTGTAACCAAGGTCTGCTCAGCATAGTTGCAGTATAAACCACAAGTGGGCTCTGTGGGTGTTGAGCGAACACAAATGTTCCTGAGCGAGCGTCTACAGTAGGGATTGGCTAATCGCTCTAGTAGACGGGTATCCGCGAATATGAGTGGCCAGCTATTTATTATTATAAGAAAAGAAGAACAGGCAAATATTTCTCAAGCATAGCTTCAGCACATGATTTACAAGAGACGCGAACTCAATGAAACCTCATCACAAGCAACGGGTCTGCGAAATCAATGATGAAGCGTCAACAGAGATGTGATTCTACAGAAGGATGATGGGAATTCTATGGATGGAACATGTGAACAGTGAATAGGATTTAAGGAAAACAGTTGAAACATGCTATACACAATGAGTAAAGAAGGCTTAGAGAATTTGACATGCAGAAGGCATTATGAAGGCACAAGGTGCAGAGGTAATTGTCTATTAACATATTTAACGAGCTTAAATGAATAGCAGAACATAGACTATTAGAGATAATAAAAGAGGCAACTATTTCGCAGAGCTACAAAGAATAGATGTTGTGGAGAGCCATAATCGCTTACATACTGAAGGGACACGACATGTAAATGAAGAAAGGACTATTTACTCCTAGATTAAAAAGTGGCAATAAGGATATAGTTCTACAGAAGGATGTTGAGAATATCATGGAAAATATGAGCAAGGAGTAAGAAAAATAAGATGCTTCAGCTTAGAATCAGAAAGATACAATTCAAATTTCTGGGACTTAAAGAAAAAGAAGGATTGGAAAATTTGACACTCACAGGGCACAATGTAGTAAGAGGTTTAGAGAGAATCATCAATTAACTTCCCTATTGAGCTTTTATGGCAGAAAGTGAACTGGGAGGGATAAGAAGAAGACAAACATTTCTAACTGCTACAAAAGCTAGGAAGTTGTGGAGAGCCATAATCGCCTATGTCCTGAAGAAAACAATTCAGTTATCGACAGGCATCTCAGCAATAGTTATCAAATTAAACATATCTCAGAAGTTTTTTTTGGTTTTTTTTTGATTAGCGAAATATCAATCTCCATGGGTTATTTAATGCCGAAATCTAAATATTTGGAACACAATTTTATCGCTTCAGCTACAGAAAAATGTTGGTAATTTTACTATAAATAGGTATTGCAGGTAATTTATTTATATAAATATATATTACTAGTATTTTTATTATAAAAATGTATTTTTATACTTTCGTAGTGTTTTGTTTTTGCTTGGGTGTTAACTATCCACCCGTAGCCGGGACCCTAACAGGTGCTACCACCTCGGGTGAGGGCGGACCTGGGAACAACAGTAAATAAGGGGTGGTTTCACTCTCCTCAAAATTTCCAGTCTTCCTATCCAAGGTCTTGTTTCCGGATGTAGTGTAATGGTTAGCACGTATGTCTCGCTAGATCGATTACGAATGAATAGTGAGTTCGAATTTCACTGGGTGACCCATGCTTTCGGCATTCGGTCACATATACGCTTCGATAATCATTTGGGTACACGACGGGGTTTAATGGTTAGCTTTAAGATTGATTTAATGATCTGTTTGTTTAACGACACATCAATTCTTTCATGGTTCATTTAATGCCGAAATTGCATTCTCTTGGGAGCTTTAAAGTAATACAAATATGATATATGTTATTCTTCTTTCACAATTGAATACATGGTAGATGATACTCAGCTTTTGTGCATATACAGGTTTGTGTAGACATGGTTACTAGAGGCCATGATGTGTGTTTTTTTTTTTGTTGTTGTTTTTTTTTGGGGGGGGAGTTATATTTTCGACCACAGTGATTCCTTTAAGAAATTATAGGTTAATGTTATGAAAGAGTTCGTTCATGTTGGTTGATTTTGTTTAGCGGCATATCAACATCTATGGGTTATTTAATGCCGAATTCTAAATATTTTGAACACAATTTTATGGCTTCAGCTACAGATAAAATATATTGTCGGTCATTTTTCTATAAATATGTATCGTTGGTAATTTTTTAATATAAAATTGTATTGCTGATATTTTTATACTTTCGTAGAGTTTTGTTTCGGAGTTCACTATTTGCCCGTAGCTGGGACCCTAACAGATGCTACCACCCTAGGTCATGGTAGGCCTGGAAGCAACATCAATTAAGAAAGGGTTCCACGTTTCTCAAAATCTCTAATCTCTTGATCAGAGGTCTTGCTGCGGGATGTAGTTTATCGTCATACCCAGGACATAAAAGTTTGGTCCATTGTTAGATAGTCCATTCTTTTCTTCATTTGTTTTTGCCACAAGCGAATCGAACATTGACAATTAAGTTCCCCAATATTTTCTAGATTTAAACTTTCCTTTTTTACCATCTGAAACTTCCTGGGGCTTCACACGATACCCCTAATGTATTCAACCGAGAGACATTTTTCTCGAAATTCTCTGCGGGGTTACGGCCATATGACATTGAAAGAACGCAAGTCTCTCGCTACTCCATCGCTCTTTCCAAGACAAACGTTCAGATGAGTTAAATTCTCCAGTTTCACCGGTTTAGACGTTCACATCTAAGACCCGTCACTGATGTTACATTAAATCATTGGAAGAACATGACAGCCAAAAGTTTAAGGAGAGAGAAAACTTGACTGCAAAAGGTTTTATTCAGGCACAGAAGATAAAGAAAAGAATGAAAAAGAGGAAGGGATAGATAAGGGGGCGTTGTTTATTACTGAGTAGGGGGAATGCATTAAACCATAATACAAGGGAGCATACATTAAACAATAATGTAACAACTGAGACGAAGTATCCCCATTCTCTTTGTATTCCGATAGTAAGAAGGAAAGGTATAAATCCACTCTGTTTCCCCTTCCAACTATGTATTAATTAGTAGAACTGGTATCAGTAAAAACTATAATTATCTCCCAAAAAGTATTACAATCTAAAAATATTTTCTGGCTTTAAATAACCTACAAAAAGTTAATAAGTCGTAAAAATACAAATAAAAAAAATTACTATCAAATAATTTTTTTTTTCTTTCTTTCTTTAGTCGGAGCTCAGGTGAGGAAATGTGACAATAACAAATTTGGCTACGAATGTAGATTCCAGTGTAGATGCCAACGTAATGAGTCTTGTAATGCTACAAATGGAATTTGTCCCTCAGGATGTGCAGACGGTTTCTGGGGTTCAAACTGTCAATTATGTAAGTATTTATCCATTTTCTTCAGTTTTTAGTTGTGTTTGTTTGATACGAGTTCAAAGACTCGCAACTCAATTAAATGTATTTCCACTTGATCATAATATGGCTCAACATTCTTTACCAAGTGTTCCGAAAAGTGGGTCTTGAGATAAACCTTTCCAAAACAGAACCTATGATCCGGAATTGAAGTGAGAGTAGTGGCGACAGCAGTGCCGAAGAATTAAATTCAAAATCGGTTCATACAGTTCCTAATGTATTTTTCAATGCGCCCACGTCGCTACCGAATGTAACACAAGGTCAGTTTAAAGTGGGTTTAACGATAATAACCGTGAAAAAAATTGCTCAAGCCCCCACTTCGGGACGCCTCAGACACTAGCCAGTAAATCCAGCTCCCTCCCTGCCCGTGGGAAAGCCCTCCCCACGCTGGGGCTTGCGCTTAATATTAACCAAAATTCCGAATTTTCTAAAAAAGGATAAAAAAAAAAAATACAATTTAATAATAAAAAAATCCTTTGGTCTTTCCTCATCATAATAGCGCAAAGATTTTTACGATAAAATTTTATTTTTATTAAGTTTGAGGCATTTTTTCATCATGGTATGCTCATTTTTAGTGAATTATTAGTGATGCCTAGTGTAAATAAAATGATTTCAGAATAAATTCTTAGTCTGAAAGATTTTTTTTCTAATTTCTGAATGTGAAAGCCATTAACTATAAGTGTAATCAAAGACCGGAAATATTGCGCCAAAGGAATTTGTTGACACTAATAATGCCAAGATTTTTGTAGAAGATTAAGGGGTGAAAAGAGGATTTAGCCCTATTGAAATATTCAACACGTCCACAAAAAAAATAGAAAAGAAAAAAAAATTTTTAATCAAGTTTCTTCTTTCAAAGAGAGCTTACATCCGATCGAAAACGGACAATGATTTCTGTACGACTCCTTCACCTAATTGATAACCAGTCTTTTATTCATACATGGCATGCGGACGGACTATTAAACACAAGAATACGCGCAAATATTTACTAAAAAACTAGTTATACTCTATTTGAAAGTAAGTAATTTGAAGTATATAACATTTTTAATAAAGTAATTAACTATAAATGCCTAAAAACTGAAACTTTGCAGATTGATAATTTAATATATTTTTTAAATGTTGTGTTTATTTTATAATTCTCTGTAAATTATAACTTAATTAGATTTTAAGTTGGTTTCTCCTTCGTAAGGATGTTGCATCTTAATTTTCAATAAAATAAGAGTTTTATTTTCTCTGAAGTTGAATTATTAGCAGAATATGTTCTAATAATGTGTCAACTACAATTTGAATCAGTCTAAGTTGTTAATTTTACCAAATCTTGTATAGATTAATTTTATATAGAATTTACCAAATCTTATATAGATTAACCTTATATAGATTATATATACCAAATCTCTCTATATATATATATTTATATATACCAAATCTTATATAGATGAACATGCAATGAAGCATTGAAGGTGGACGTAGGAGAGACATCAACGCAAAAACTGATTGGACAATGTCAAACAATAGACACGTATGACTATACTAGAATTGCTAATGGCTGCCGTTGCTAAACCGTTCTAGAGGAAATTCAGCGTGGGTTCAGCATTTGGATCCGCCCAACGATTACAAATGTCAGGGGGATGATGATGATTATGATGATTAAACATTCTTCAAAAACATTAATCATATATATATATATATATATATATATATATATATATATATATATACAATAAAACAAACAATATAACAAAAAGCGTACGAAAATATTTTAAAAATAAAGCGATGTGATTTAATATAAGAGGCACGAATATTAAGATTTTAGGGAAATTTTTCTTTTTTGTCTTTTCAAAGAATAAAGTTTTAACGTTTGTTTAAAGTTAAAAGGCTTTAACTTTTTAAAAATTAATACCGAGTTCTTTGAAATATTAAAGTTCTCAGAAGAACTCAAAGAAGAAGATGAAGAAGAAGAAAAAGAAGAAGAAGAAAAAGAAGAAGTGCTTTTTGTAATATGTAAGCAAGGACTCATGGCTTCTGATTTCTGGTTCAAAAGGTTCTTTGGATCTGGAAATCTCATAATTGCTAACATTTCATGCTGGCAGAGATTGCAAATATTGTTGTGGTTGTTGTAAGGCTTTGTATTTTAAAAAAATCCACCTTACAAATAGACCCCTGTTGTTTTTTTCTTTTAAATTACACACATAGCTAGTTTGATAGAGTACCTAAGATTTACTAGCTTAAATGATGGCCTATAATTGTACCATCTACGTTTGAAAGTAACTTCAGTACATCCTATGTACGTTTTATTTTGGCCATTAGCAACAACTTCACTATCCTCACCAACGGGCTGTGACATGACTCTCAAGACCCTTTCGGATGTCAGTAAATTCGTCCTGTAAAAAAAGAGAAAATTGCCTTCTACATCCTTACAATATTATTCCAGTTCCAATCAAATATTTATCTTTAGATAAACTAAAATTATGTTTTAATGCTAGATTTCTTGAAATAGAAACAGTAATAAATAAATTGTAAACCGTTTCTTCAGTGAAATGCTCCCATTGATTTGATAGTCAAATAATTCCTGAGTAAAACGATAAACTACATCCAGCAGCAAATCCTCTAAATCGAGATATTGGAGATTTTGAGAAGCATGGCACGACTTTTTAATTGCTGTTTTTCCGAGGTCCAGACCCGGAGTGGCAGTATCCGTTTGGGTCCAAGCTATGAGAAAATAGCAAATCCTCAAACAAAAAGAACACACTAGGAAAGCATAAAAATGCATTTTTATAGCAGAAATACTAGCAATACATTTTTATATAAAAACAATTACTAACAATACACTTTATCTGCAGTTGAAGGTGTAAATTGCGTTCAAAATATATTCAGTTGAAACCATAAAATTGTCTTGAAAATATTTTGATTTTGGCATTAAATAAGTCATTGACGTATGTTGCTAAACAAAATCAAGCAACCAACAGGAAAGAACTTTCATGGCATTAATCCATATAATATGCTATAATTTCTTAAAGAAATCAAACTGTATACCAAAATATAACTTCAACAAAACTATAACATAAAACATACATACCACCGCCTCAAGTAATTATATGCACACAAACATGTATATGCACAAAAGCTGGGCGTCATCTACTATGTATTCAATTGTGAAAGCAGAATAACATATATTTTTATTACTTCAAAGCTCACAAGAAAATTAAATTTCAGCATTAAATGACCCATGAGCTGATGATATGCCGTTAAACAAACAAATCAAATCTTAAATAGTTTTTATTCTTAACTAAGCATTTATGAAGGATATTGTTGTTTTGTTTCTCTTTCATCTTTGTCTCCATTTGTTCTTTTATTGAAAGCAAGTGAATGTTATTACAATGGCCATAGTGAAAAATACGAAGGAACCAAATCAGTTGCTGGTGAATCAAATGTCTGTGAAAAATGGCGCCATAAGGAGCACAATTACTGCATACCGCTCAGCGATTCTAAACCTTGGTGTTACACCTCTGCTGGCTGGCGTTACTGCAAGTTAAATAATTGTAGTAAGTACACTCTTCTCGTTCATCTAACACCATTAATTCGTTTCTTCCATTTTTTTTTCTCTCTCACACGATCTTCCTTATGTCTTTACACTTCAAAATAATATCGTTTCTATGCTGATCCATATATATTCAAGTCAGTCTCTTCAGTTTTCAGTTTCTACGTTTAGACTCTCACAAGAGTACTGAAGGTGGAATAATTGAATTAAAGAAAAAACAAGTCCGTCGCAGGAGTCGCTATAAAAGTATTTTGATATGCAAATTACGGAACATCCTATCCCAGCTGTCGATGAATGAAAAAAATAGGTTCTGCCGATAAAAACAGTTGGTGTTCTCGATTCGAGGGCGCAAAATTCAGGTATTTTTGGCTTCGGCGTTTGTTAAAGAGTGAGTTATTTTTTCTGACTGGTTACACGCATTGTGATTCGAGATAGTACCGGCGAATCGAGTTTTCAGCATTTCTTTCTCCCCCCCCCCCTCACCCGATATTCGAGTCTGTACTTACAGTGATTTTTCTTTGTGTTGTGGAAGTAATCTGCGATAAATACTTCCTTTGTTTTCAGAACGCTTACAAGTACTTAACAGCTTTTCTTTCCTTCTCCAAATATGCAATATTATTGATTTTGATCTGGCCTTTCTGCTTCAATCACTTTCCCACTGCCGTAACTTTCTTGTGTCTTTTCTATAAATACTTTCATGGTAATTGCTCTGATGTGATTTCCTCTTAGGTACCCCAACTAAGCGTAGTACTAAATTGGCAGTTAGGTATCATTATTTTACTGTTGAAATTGCAGAAAGAAACCATAAGTTCTATTTTAATAGTTTTGGTCTCTCGCACTTCTTACATGAGGGACTCCCTTTCAGCTTCTAGCTTTCCGGACAGCTACAACCTTCAAAAATCTAGATGCATCATCAATCGTCATTTTCTGTCAACTTGAAATCTGTTCTTTTTATTGTCCCAGTTGCATTCATTCTATTTTCTTTTCTTCTCAGTGACACTTTGTGTATTAGTGGCTTTATCGCCTTGCTTGGGGGTAATATGCTAAAAAAGATATGCCCAATGACTCGCAGAATTCTAATGCGTAGCGATTCCATCACATGTTGTAGTTTTCTATAGAGTTCCTTGTTTATGTTGTGCCTTTTTCATGATACAGCGGACAAGACCTTCATAATCTTAGTTTATCTTCAGTCAGGTCTATTTTCTATTATTTTGCTTGTTTTTATTTATTTTTTATTTATTTCTTATCTTATATATTTATTTTTTATTTTTATTTTTATTTATATTTATTTTTATTTTAATTGGTGTTTTATTAACTTGTTAATAAAACAACGATTAAATTAAAAAAAAATAAACAAATAAATATATAAGATAAGAAGTAAAAACAAGCAAAATGATTTAACCCAAATAAATAAACAAATAAACGACTTCCGGCAAAATAACCGCCAAAATAGACTACCGACAATGCCCTGACCCGTATATATAGTCGAGAAAAAAAGGAATCAGCCCGGTAAATGTTGTTTAATACTGTTTATTATAAACAGAGCATTTACTTAAATATTTGTATCTATAAAAAGAAAGTATAAACATAAAATGTCTTTTTTTATATATATATATATATGTTGCCTGCTTAGTATTATTTTGCCCTGTTCTTTCTGTTTGTTGGACATTTCTGCCAATTACATTTAACCAAGACTATTTACTTTGCAGTACCAGACACACTAATCAACTCCGAATTGGTTAAACATCTTACTTCGCTCAGCCATCTTTTAGATAACCAATATGGCATTGGCTTCTCTAGGTCAACCGTCGATATGTTAACCGTTATTACTGAAATTATCTATCAGGCTTTAGATGCTAACGTTCAGGATCGGGCTGTGACTTCAGATATCCCGAAGACATTTGACAGTGTTTGAGATGGTGGCCTTCTTCCCATGCTGGAGGGCTATGATGTTTCTGGCCGAATATTTGACTTGATTCAATCCTTGTTAAAGAAACGTGAAATAAAAGTTGTGTTGAATGACCGCATTTCTAGATGCTTTCATATTAAAGTGGGTATACCCAAGGGCTCTATCCTTGGGCCTACATTGTTTCTTATCTTCATCAATGACCTTGCCGATATCATCAGGTCCGAACTTGGAGTTTACGCTGATGAAACGTCTATTTACTCTTGTTTCTTTCATAATAGTAAGTCTGATAAGTTCGATAAAGTAAAGCTGGGAGCTGATCGCAAAAATGACTTCCAATCAGTTGTTAACTGGGGCGAGAAAACGTTTGTAAATTTTAACGCCTCCAAAACGAAACTGCTAACTTTTAGTCATCTTAGAGAACTATTTTTGACTTCAGTCAGCATGGCTGATTCTAACCTCCAGGAGAGCAATTCATTGCACCTTCTTTGTCTCACATTTTTCACTGATATGGCGTGGAACGATAATATTGAATCGATTGCCAGGCTTACTACTATGCTATGTCGTTCCAGACAGTTGTTACTCGTCAGAAACCACACACCTTGCACGTTTATAAATCTACCAATCATCTGTGCATTGGATATTGCTGAATATTGAATATTGCTGCCATATCTTGTCTGGTTATCTTGATATATATATCTCGGGATTCTGTCCTGGAATCTCGATTTCAGTAATTGTCCAACCGCCATGACATGACTTCCCTGTGACTTTTCTATAAATATTTTCATTATTTTGATGAGTCTTGCTCCATATTACTTTAGCAGCGTGAATTTAAGCGTGCTACTAAATTGGCAAATAGGTCTCATCGTTATACTGTTGAAATAAGATGTAACCGTAAGTTCTATTCTAATAGTTTCTTTTCTCGCACTTCTCGTCTGTGGAACTCTCTTCCGGTTTCTTGCTTCTATGCCACCTACGATCTTCAATAATTTAAATGCAACGTCAATCGCCATTTCTCTCTTCCTGAATCCTATTCTTTTATTGCCCTCATGTTTTATTCTTCTTTCACTTTCAGTAACCCCCTTTCGTCTTAGGGGCATTATCGCCTTGTTTGGGGTGGAATTATTTTTCTTTTTTATTACATTTTTCTTAAAACTTCCATATTCAGTCCATGATATTCTCAGCATCCTTCTGTTGAACCATAATTATATAGCCTCAAGTCTCTTCTCCATCCGTGAGAAGATTGTCCAGCATCCACTGCCATAGAAGAGGACTGATATTACATAATAGTTTACATCTCGTTTGTTTGTTTCTAAGGAAATTTTGCTGTTTCTTAATGTTGTTAAGTAGCGTGAACCGGAAATTAAAACACAAACCGCTGGTGAGATTTAAACTCTTATCTCCGTCAATAAGTGCTTCTCGAACTCGCCATGTATCTGTATTAATGTATTCGCTGATCTTCATGACTTTGTTAAAGTGGGGGATATGAGTTCAAACCTAGCCGAAAACTTATTCTTTATTTATCATTCGTATTGCTTAGTTAACGATCGTAGAATTACGATATTTGCGATAAAAAGCAATAGAAATCAGAGTAAAATAATAATAATAATAATAATAATAATAATAATTCAGACCGAATATTTTAAATTTTTTTAATATCTTTCGACTTTCAATTTTCTCATCTTTAGTGTGTCCTCCTGGGCTTTTCGGAGTAAATTGTATCAAGGAGTGCCATTGCAAAAATGCTTCTGAAGTGTGCAATCCGTATTCAGGTTCTTGCAATAGCTGCGGTCCAGGATGGAAAGGAAGATACTGTAGCCTAAGTAAGTATCATATCAGAATTCTGTCTGTTCTTCGATAGGTTACGACATTGGTTAGTATGTACGTTAGGCCCTGCCATTACCGAAGATAAATAATGGACCATTCTGTTTTGATGGAGAGGAAAGACTGAAGAAAAATACAGCATCGACGCTATTTGGTTTTAGAAAAAAAAACATACATTATAATAATAGAAAGAAAGAAAGAAAGAAAGAAAGAAAGAAAGAAAGAAAGGAGGAGGCAAGAAGGAAGAAAGAAAGGAAGAAAGAAAAAAGCGGAGATAATAACGCCATCATGCGTTTAATGTTTGCTTCAGTGAAATGCAAAAACCTTGGTTATTTCGAATCTTTTCATTTGTACCTCCTTATACCTTTAAATAATAACCTGTATTCATATTTATGATTTTTATTGCAATATTTTGTTAAAGTTGTCACTCTCAACTATCTATTGTCTTGGGTATGACGATAAACTACATTTGGCAGCAAGGCCTCTGATCGGGAGGTTTTGAGGAGCGTGGAACCATCTCTTAATTGCTGTTGTTCCCAGATCCACCCTGACCCAAGTGGTAGCATCCGTTAGGGTCCCAGTTATGGGCAAATCGTGAACCCCACACACAGGTGTCAAAACATGAAAATATAAAAACGCATTCGAAAAAAATTACCAGCAATACGTTTTCAGAGTAAAAGAATAAAAAAATTACCAGTAGTACCTTATTGGAAAAAAATAACAAAGATCACAAGAAATTAAAATTTCGGCATTAAATGATCCATAAGGAGTTGATATGCCGTTAAACAAACAAATCAAACCAAACCTCAACTATTTAAATATGCAATGGTTGAATTTCCACTGGATATTTTATAATCGTAGAACTCGCAAGAAGCCGAATCAGTCATTAACTACAGCAACAACAACCTCTAATCGGGAGATTGGAGGTTTTGGGGAGCGTGGAACCACCTCTTAATTGCTATTCTTCTCAAGTCCGCCATATAAACAGTTTTTTTCCTAATATTATTGTAGACTATATAAAGCTGGAAGAAAAATTACAAATTACAGTGAAAAGTTGACGAGAAGCACAAGTAGACACTATAAAAAATCTTATGCATTAGCACATTTACAGCTGCATTGCCACATCTTAATTGCTGTTGTTCCCAGGTCCACCGTAACCCGCGGTGTTAGCACCTGTTAGGGACCCAGCTATGGGCAAACAGTGAACTTAAAAATAAAAACAAGATTATGAAAATATAAAAATACATTTTTCTTGTAAAATTACCAGCAACTCATTTTGTTGCATATTGCTAGTGGGTTCATATATATATATATATATATATATATATATATATATATATATATATATATATATATATATATATATATATATATATATAGTAATTATTAGGAGGATTTGATAATTATATTTTAATTAATTGAGTCTGATAGAAACCTCAACAGAATGCAGAAAGCACTGGACGGCCGTTTCGTCCTATATTTGGGACTCACCAGCAGTGCGCATCCACTACCGAGAACTGAAACCCTGACAGTTGGGTTGTCAAGCAAACATCATACCAACTGTTCTAATATGCCTCGGTGACGACGATATTGCAAATCACACTCAATATAGTGCCGCTTGCTCACATATTCCGTGGTGGAACCATACTGCGTTCTCTGTTATATATATATATATATATATATATATATATATATATATATATATATATATATATATATATATATATATATATAAAGTGAGGTAGAATCAAAGAGGTAGGATTGCGACTACAGGAATTGACAGAGACATATCTCTAACAAGCCTCTCTGTCCAGATAAAGAATCGGACTGATTATAAGAGATTTGGACGCATATGCAACGCCTTCTTCCGGTATGTCACCTACGCAACTTCATGTAGCGACGCCTCTTCCGGCGTGCGCCCACGCAAGCACGCATTTCCTTCCGATCAGGACGCCTGTGCGCCTTGTTTATTCAAAGCTCATGACACCTGTACGTCCTGTTTATTTTAATCACCGGATGCAATTCCTGTTTATGCTCTCACCAATTCCAATTTCCTCTCACACAGTGATGCAGCGGAACTAAGACCAAACGACTTTCCTCAACCGATATCCAACAATTTTTATATATAAAAATATCAACAGTATTTATTTATAGCAGAATTACCGACAATACCTATTTATCTGTTGTTGAAATCATAAGACTGTGTTAAAAATATTTAGATTTCGGCATTAAGTAACCTGTAGATGTGTTGATATGCCGCAAAACAAAATCACTCAACCAATCAATCATTTACTAAAGAATTATGACACGATTAGCAAAATTTTTAAATTTTTACAGGTAATGCTAGTTGTAAATAATTCTGTTCTATTAATGATGAAATCTTTATGAGTAACTTTCTTGAGTTTGCTTCCCAGCCTTTTCTCTTCGCTACAGTGCCATCTGTCTACTTTTAGAATGTGAGAGCGGAACTTTTGGGGACAATTGCCAGCAAATATGTCACTGTGCAGAAATTTCTCAATGTCGCCGAACGGACGGCAAATGTCTTTACGGCGGATGTGTCGCAGGCTACACCGGAGGGAACTGCCAAAAAGGTAAGAAATTTTAGCTTCAATCCAAAAGAAAAATTAGGGATGTTTTTTTATAATGAAGTGGAGGGGATGTCGATTAGATAAAATTAAATTTCACTTAATACAAGACTCGGGAGCCCCTTAAAGTAGAGGATTATCTTATAATGAAGCCAGCGGGGTGTCCATTAAAAGATAACATGAGACTTGAATCGTCCTTACTTAACATTTTATTTACTACATTATTCTGTCAGTTACTCTCAGCCAGTCTGTGGGATGCAGACTTCTTGGTGGCTTCCCACCACCACTCCGACAAGCACATTCCCTCTTCTCTAAGTCTGAGTTTACGAATTCATCTCTGGGGTGGTCGTTCAACATTCTCGTTCTCACGCTTGGAGGTGTGAAGTTACGTACTTCTACCTTCGTTGGCCGCGAGTAAACACAAGTCAACTCTCAACCTTTTTTCCTTTGACGATTTAATGTCAAATTCCAGTGCAGTGTCTATCCAGGCATAATGCCCAACATCAGGTCTGTGGGCTCATAACAGCCTAGAATGTACGGACAACATAAAACATGTTAGGATTTTCACCTATTTGCGACCCATCTGATCTATGATTGGTCGTTCTCAATATTAAGCTGCAACGGGGCTAGCTAAAATTCTGAAACTGATAAATCATATTAAAATCTGAGCTGCTATTGTAAGCATCCAGCGAGACTATCATCGCGCTTTTTACCGATCGGCTAATGATTACCAAACGTTGCCTCTATTTTCGTTGGTGTAGGTGTGCAGAAAAAAATCAGAAAAGGCCCGTCACAAGCTCACAAGGAAGCGAACGATGAAAACAAACGCCACGGCATCAAATGAGAACTAGACCTATTTTCAGTATGTTTAGGTGTTTATTCAAGGCTTCGCTTACTCAGATCTGGATGGGTAGATTGGTGACTTCTGCCATGTCGAAGTAAAGGTTCAACTCTTTCTTTCGATTCTTCCTCTTATCAAATCTACTTCAACATTTCAATGCGTAGCTAGCAACAAAAACTGGCGGGATGGGAACTACCCGAAGGACAGTCTATCCACCACTAAGTGTGGACCAGAACTGACTCAATCCCAGCCCCTGATCAATACCGAACCTTTCTGCATTTGACGGCTAATGTGAAATTTGAATGCAATGCCTATTCTACCATAATACTCAAAAGCAGGCATGTCTCTTCACAACGGTTTAGCATGTACGAACTACCTAAAATATTAGGTTGGTGCAAAAATAATGTCGTTTTTACGTTCAACTTCCAAAGAGAAAACGACATTATTTTTGCACCAACCTAATATATAAAGGCGGGCTACCTTTGCAATCCATCTTATCCATCATTGCTTCCACTAAACATCAAACAGCAACACAAAAGTCCAATTCCTTACGCGACCTTGTGAGGGTTGGCATATTTTCTATCCGGCAGCCTCTTTTCTACAGGATCAACGTTCCTACTCTTTCCATATTTCCATAGCAAATATTCGAACCAGCTCCATTCTTTAGTTCCACTAGTTCAGATCTTCACAACTAAGACTTACCAAGTTATCTTCACAGAGTTTATTCCATCCGTATTCCAAAAAGAATTCTAAGGAAGTTCTACTCAGAGAGATTTTCCCCAAGAACAACTGATTTGTGAAACAGACGCCCGCATTGATATTTTTATGGATGCTCTAATCTTAAGCTCTTTAAGTCAAGGGTTAATCTAGTTCTTTATTCTCCAGGTTTTTATAATCTTCACTTCCTACTCTTACATTCATATCATACAACCCATTCAGTAACCCTCTCATTTCAGTGGTTCTTGAGCCTCGTACTGGGTAAATATTATTTTTTAAAATAACATATGCAGAAACATTGCATTGGAAATTCTGTCGTTTTTTTTTTTTAGTTCGGAGTTTTTCCTAAAGTCGTTGTAGGGATGCAAAAGTTGGTTATCTCCTTTTCGTTGGGACGAAGTCATGTGAATCACATGATTGCCGGTAAGTGATATCAGTTCATTTAATGTCGAATACCAGTTGCTATTTAGCACCCGGAGTAGCAAGACGTACCTGCCCATGCCAGTTCCTATGTAAGACGCGGAGAAGAAGGGACACCGCAAGCCTACAGCAGTAGAGAATACAAATAAAATCACATGGTCTCCACTGGCACAGAGAGAACACCACTAGCCTGTCCTCTTTCCCGTTTGGAAATATTACAAATAAGACTCTTTTTTCATTCGTTTCACACTTATTGTTGTAGACATGTGTTATAGTTTCTCTGTGTGTGACAAGTATGTTTATATCGGTATGTTTGCCACTCCTTTCTTTCATGTCCGTCCGTGTCATTAACCTGTTACTAGATCAAGGATATAATAATGCCTGTAACGGGAAATGAAAACTAGGAATAGACCCTCTTGCATATCACCTCTCCCCCATTATTCTCAATTGTAACATTTAGTTCAGATCTTCACAGAAAGCGAACAGTTTAAAAATATGTAACGGTTCAATAGCAGAAATTATTTCTGCAATTAAACCGTCACATATTTTTTAACTGTTCGCTTGGAAGTACGTTACCGTATATTTGTGATTCGTTTTCTACGGCTTATCAACTCTGTAGGTTATATAAAGCCAGAAAGTATTTTTAGATCGTAAGAATGTTTTTTGATTTTTTTAAAAATAATAATGATTTAGTGATATAAGTCTAATTAACCCATAGCTATGGGAGAATACGTGAAATCATACATTTCCCAGTGGTATTTGCGCGTAAGCGAATATAACGAAACCCAACGGGCATTGGAGCCCGGATCTCCGATTAACAATTCCGAGCCATTATCCATTACACCACCCAAACATCCAAGCTTACAGCACATGTTATCCCCAAGCAGTAACCCATCTAGGTACTGATCAGGCTCGATGTTGCTTAACCTCTGTGATCTTGCCGGAACCGGTGTTTCAATGTGATATGGCTGTAAGCCATTTGTTATTTTTGGAAAACCAACTGAAGAAGACCGAAGGGCAGAACGGCCGAAATGTTGTCACAGTAACAACAAAGATCAGAACTCGAAAGCTGGTTTTAAATAAGATAAATAATGAAAATTGCTATATCTGTTATCTGGAAACCAAACCTTAAACAGGAAACAAGGGACAAAACCCTATTCCTGTTTAAAAGGCGGGTAAGGAGAAGTAAACCGGGCGATAGGCGAACCTATCTACTCCTAGTAGATTTTCTTTGTCATATTTTTTAGTTCAGAAAATTATTTCTTCAATGAAATTATTTTCACAGCTTAAAAATTAACTTTGGTTTATTCACATCTCGTGATTTTTTTTAAATTCTCGAAGATTACTCAGATCGCCAGCCACCCGAAGAAGGCCGGATAGCGCAATTGCCGAAACGTTATGAAATAACAGTAAAAATAAGATCTAAATGTAAATAATGCAACTAATGATAACTCCGCGTGCAAGAAATTAAAAAATAAATTTTTAAAAATTCTATTTTTCCTTTGATTAGGCTTTAATTATTTACACGGGGACAGATTTAAACTTATATTATAGAATAGGCATTTTGTTCACTCAGTACAAGTCCCAAAAGCCACTCAAAGTAGAAGGTGGCTGTTTGGTGCTGTATGGGCGTAAGAAAGGACAAGAAGTAAAGTTCATGGGGCTATGCAGGAAAGATAACAGTTAACCCTAGATTTGAAGATGTTAAGATTGTAGTGATTGGGGTAAACACCTTGCTGGGAATCTGTTCCCCAAACCAGAAGTTATTGGAAAGAAGCTGTCACAATAGAACTTACTTCTTACTAATGGAATACAAAGGGCGTGTAGCTGATCCACTTTTGTGTACTTAACAAGGCGAGTTTCAATTATAAAAATCAGGGATGATGGGACTAAGAAATGTAACTCATCAGATCACGTCGCGGATGTAGCGATAGGACTGCGAGCGTCTCGCAACATTTCGTCTATGGGCAAGTGGTTGTAGGGTGGAAAATAATTTATCCCCCATAAGGCTGCGTAGATGTTTTTAGAGTATAAAAAAGGCAAGTGATGATTAGGCAGCTCCAGTCCAGATATGACCGCAATACTCCATTTATGTTCTGACCTGACACTTGTAAAAATAGAGTATAGCAGGAGCAGGGGGGAGGTACTTACTGGAGCGGTACAATGAACGGGCCATTTTTCAGGCATCTTTAGCAATAGATCGGCTCCTGTACCGCTCCAGTAAGTACCTGATTCCTCATGCTATCATCTACCTTTATAAGAGCCAGATCAGACCGAAAACGGAGTACTGTTACCATATTTGGGTAGGAGCTACCCAGACCACACTTTCCAGTTTTGATAGAGTTCAAAAGCGTCTCCGTGTCCTTGCTGGAGAAGAATTATTTCCCACCCTCCAATATCTCTCCCTCTCTTTCTCTCTCTCTCTCTCTCTCTCTCTCTCTCTCTCTCGCACACACACACACACACACACACGCACACACACTGTTAGGCGGGATGTGGCGAGTCTGTCACTGCTCTATCCCTACTTCCATGGAAAGTGCTCGAACGAACCACATTCCGTCAGGTCTGACTTCTATGGCTAGGACCCGCTATGCCACTTACATAGTAGATCCCCCCATCGGCGAGAAGTAAGTTCCAATTAAACAGCTTCTTCCCGCGAATCACTGCCTCGTAGAACTGAATCCCAAGCGGGTGTTTCTCAGATCACTACAATCTTAACCTGTTCAAGTCTAGAGTTAACAGTTATCTTCCTCTCCTACCCGTATAAAGCACCCCTTAAGGTAATCCTCTACCTTGAGTTGCCCCCCACCCGAGGGCGAACATTACTGTCTTGAAAAAAAAACGAACCTAAGCAAAGTATTAAGAGAAAAGAAAAAAAAAGATTGTTGAACTACTATATAATATCTAATCTCATAGTTATAATCAGAAAGAGGCAGTTGAAATTTCTGAGCGACATAATGACAAAAGAAGGCCTAGAGAATTTAACACTGACAAGACACAATGAAGTTCAAGTCTGTTCAAGTCTAGAGTTAACCATTATCTTCCCCTCCTGTCCATATAAACTATCCCTTAACGTAACCCTTTGCCTCGAGTGGCCCATGGGTTTTGTACAGGGTGAACATTACTGTAAAAAGAAAAGATCGGATATATGAGTTTCACTTGAGGTCTTCAGAGAGCTTGAGTCTCTAAAGACTTTTAAGATAAGGCCTCTTTGCATTATTTACTTTTCTTTTTTATTAGCCTTTTGCAACTAAATTTTAATTCTTCGTTTTTTTAATGTTTTTACTTATGTATTCATTCATTTATTTATTTTTATTTTTCAGAATGTGACTTCGGTACGTTTGGCAGCGGCTGTGACCAGAAATGTCATTGCGCCAATAATTCACAATGTAGTAAAACCGATGGCAAATGTCTTGATGGTGTTTGTGCAGCAGGATACATTGGACATCATTGTCAAACATGTAAGAGACTTCATTAATACTTTAAAGTTCTCCTTTTGAGGCCACCAAACTGCTTCTGTCATTTTTTAGTTCGAATTATTAGAAATTTAATACTTGACTTATTGGAACATATTATGATGGCAACGATTATTGCTGTAAATTATTAGAAATTTAATAATTGACTTGAACATATTATTCTGGCAACAATTATTATTAAAATTATTAGAAATATAATACATTACTTGAACATATTATCATGGCAGCAATTATTATTGTAAATCATTAGAAATTTAATACTTGACTTTAACATATTATTCATCGCCCTTGGAACTAGTAGAGAGAATGGGGCTGTGTGAGCCTTTTGCCGTGGTGATCTCTGGGGGCAGAGGTCCAGCGGTCGGGAGCTTTCCTTTGGTTTTTCCAACGACCTGCCATTCCCATTTTTCATTCTCTGCAACTGCAGTGTTTCTCGAAAGTTTATTCATTATGTGTTTCTAGAAGCTTTATGCATTATGTGTTTCGAGAAGTTTTATACATTATGCGCTTCTAGAAAGAAAGAAAGAAGCAAAAAAAGAAAGAAAGGGAAGTTTGAGGAAGCCATGAAACTCTCGTGCGTTTAATGTCTGCTTCATTGAAATGTCATGGCAATAAGAAATATGCTGGAGTGAAATTGTTTGTTGCAGTAATAAAAATTAGCATAATCCGTAAAATTTCCACGCACCCGCTCTACATGATTAAAAGAAATTCTTCCTTCTTCTTCTTTTTCTTCTTTTTCTTTTCTTTTCTTCTTCTTCTTCTTCTTCTTCTTCTTCTTCTTCTTCTTCTCCTATATACTTCGTCCCTTCAGGATGTCGGTGGCTATCATGGTGCCCAACATTGTCATGTCATTTGAAGCTCTTAATTTTGTCTTTTTTTATTATCTTTTCTCAACCTTGTTTCGCCATCCATTAACTCAAGCTCGCTATGCAAGTTATGCGTTGTTTTCCTCGGCTCCTTTTGCTTTCAATCCGCCCTGGGAGTATCAAATTTCCAAAGCCCTCTTCCCTCATTATGTGACCCAGGGACAGTTTCTTTTTTTCCCTCTTCATCCTTGTGTAATACGCTTGCGCATTTTTGCTTTCCATTCAAGTTTGATCTTCAAAAATTTAATCGTCATCTACTGTTTTCTTTATTACTCTTCTCTTGTTCCAGTTCCTTAATAATCTTTCTCTTTTTCTTCTTCTTTCACACGCAGTAACCCATGTACTTTAGCGGCCTTACCTTCCTTGCATGAGGTGAAATGATATATATATATATATATGTGTGTGTGTGTGTGTGTGTGTGTGTGTGTGTTTGTGTGTTTTCACAAAATCTCCTTTCATGAAACTGCACGTAACATTTCTCCGTAGATTACATATGTTGAACAGTGAAATGTTCCGATTAAAGAATTCAATTAATAACTGCGCCATTCTACGGATTAATTGATTAACCTCTGTATGTGACTAGATTTGAGCCTCTGTAACCACTGACTGTCACAGCTAAAACGGTAAAAGTTGTGTCACGCCCAGACAGGTTTTCGACTTTCAACGAAGATTTATTCTCCATATTTGATCGTCTCTGTTCGCTCACGGTGATAGAATGATAGGCTGCGATAAAAATCCACCGGAAATAAGATGAAAGAAATGCTGACTGCAAGCAAATTAAATAGAAAGGAAAAAACAATAAATTATTTGTACTCATCAAATTCCTTCATTATTTTTATTTGTTCTTCTTTTCAGCTTGCCCGGTCGGGAAATTTGGTGAAAAATGCCAGGAGGTTTGCCAGTGCAAGAATCTCAGTTCGTGTAACAACACCAATGGACGATGTGCTGACAATAAATGCAAATTTGCCTATCGAGGACCAAAATGCGATCAACGTAAGTCATTATAAAACAAGAATTTTGAAACGTGAATTTTTGTACTCAAATCAAAAATAGACCACGGATATATCTGATGGCCTAGGTAGTTAAGGTTTGTTCCCACCGATCCCAACGGTAGGTGTTCGAACTCCAGTAATGACTAATATTACGAATGCAGATTTTTGAGGTGGGCAATCTCTCTATTGGAAAATTGATACAAGACGATCTTCCTCTCACCCAACATTTGTTTTTTGCGAATCTAAGCTTTATTTTTGAAGACCATGCCACTTGAGGGCGTAGGTGAACCTGGCTTTCTACAGCCCCCTTTTCTTTAATCTTGTAAAGATGTAAATAGCCATGATTGTTTCCCGTTGCCTTCTCCAGGGTTTTCTTTCTCTTATTATTAAGCTTTTCTATTTTAGATCTTTTTTTTTCTATTTTTTTTATCATACAAAAGTGAATGAAATTATAAACGCTTTGAGGGAAATTGGATAGTTGGTAAGAATTGCTAAAAAGATTTTTTTCTTTCATCATAAAATATATGAACATGTTTTAAAAGAAACATATTTTTACTGCTAATTGTCCATTCGTAACGTCAATTTTCTCCCAAAGTACAAACTGTATATTTCAAATCCGTAAGTATTCCTACATTTTGCGGTCGAACAATATTCATTGCTAACTCCTTTATAAATGGCTCAAAACTGTTAATCAAATAGCCATGTTTCAATTTCCGTTGAATTCGGTATATTCACTTACATGGAAATAACCTTGGGAAAGCTATGAATACACCGCTTCTCCCCCAGCTGTGGGTTAATTACTAAGACTTGTATCACTAAAAAAAAAAAAAAAAAAAAAAATTCTTACAATGTAAAAGTATTTTCTGGCTTTAAATAACCTGCAAGGGGTTGAAAAACCGTAAAAAAAAAACAATCAATCAATCTTTTCGTTTTTCATATTTCAAGATGTTTTTCTATGGAATTGTAAAAGTAATGAAATAATGAATTTTATAAAATTCAGTTGCAATTTTTTTTATTAAATTGAAAAAGCAATTAGCCACAATCTTCTTTCTAAAGGGATGCGGACTGAATATTATTTTAATAAATATTCATTGCCCTAGCAAATATCTGTTGTTAACTAGGGCAAGAAATGGCTTGGTAATTTTAACGCCTCAAAAACAAAATTGCTCTCTATTAATCGTCTGAGAGAAGTCTTTGTGAGTTCCACTTGCCTGCCTGGGCCTAATCTTCAGGACAGTGACTAATTGCGCCTTCTCGGACAAACATGAAGTGGAAAGATGACATCGAATCAAATGCTAGGTCTTATGTTAGAAATGTTGCTTCACCGTGTCGTGCCAAAACACCTTTTCTTGCCAGAGTCTATATTGCATATTTACAAGTCTACCATTCACCCAAACTTTGAATATTGCTGCCACATATGGACTGGCGCTCCTGATGTATATTTAGCGGTAAAGAATGGCTCACGCTCAGAAAGAGTTTCGAGTTACAACAAAAAATTATTCTCCATATTTGTTCGTCTCTGTTCACTCACGATGATAGAATGATAAGCTGCGATAAAATTCAGACAAAATATAATGAAATTGCTGACTTAAAAATTAAATAGAAAGGAAAAAACAGTAAGTTATTTGTACTCATCAAATTTCTTCATTATTTTTATTTGTTTTTCTTTTGAGTTTGTCCGGTCGGGAAATTTGGTGAAAAATGCCAGGAGGTTTGCCAGTGTAAGAATCCCAGTTCGTGTAACAACACCAATGGACGATGTGCCGACAATAAATGCAAATTTGGCTATCGAGGACCAAGATGCAATCAACGTAGGTCATTATAAAACTTCAAGATTTTAGAAACATAAATTTCTGTACTCAAATCAAGAATAGTCAACGGATATATCTGATGGCCTCGGTAATTAGGGTTAGTTCTCACCGATTCCAGTGGTAGGTGTTCGAACTCCAGTAAAGACAAATATTACGAATGCTGAGTTTCGAGTCAGGCAATCGCTCTATTGGAAAATTGATACAAGACAAACTTCCTCTCACCCATTATCTATTTTTTGCGAATTTAAGCTTTTTTAAAAGACCATACTTGAGGACATAGGTGAACCTGGATTTCTACAACCCCCTTTTCTTTAATATCTTGTAAAGATGTAAATAGCCATGATTGTTTCCCGTTGCCTTCTCCAGGGTTTTCAATTTAGAGTTGTCTTTCTCTTAAAGCAACATTCACTTACGTACAAATACTCTAAGGAAATGTATGGATCAAAATTCTCCCCCTACATATGAGTTAAATAAGAGAAAAAAACAATATCATCCTCAAAAAATTGCTAATATTCACTCGCAAAAATTAATTATTCTAATAATGTAAAATATGTTTCAAATTTAAGTAATCAACAAAGGGTTGATAAACCGTAAAAAACAAGTCAGTTATTTCCAGAACTTTGCTTTTTCTCAGAAAGATAAAAATTGCTATAAATGCCTTTTAAGGGATTACAGGGATATAGATTTTTTCAATCTTTCTTGATGTTTTATTTAATTTTTAATTAGGCAAATTATTTTAAATATACAAAATTTAAATATGCAGATATTTTTAAATATGCAAAAATGATTGATTATTCTTTTTTTAATTTAGGTGACTTAACCATGATAGTCTTGTTGCTGCTGATTCCTCTCCTGATTTTGATTGCAATTATCATCGGGCTTATCTTTTACCTAAAGTGAGTTTCACAATTTGAATCTTTTTACTTAAGAGCTCATTTCTTTTTAAATATCAACCAAAAATTGAACAACCACTGTGATGCATACCATGCCAGGAACAATATACAATTGATCATGTATTGGTAATCTGTAGCGAATTCCGACAAACACGAACCAAACATCTGTCCATATTTCTGAAATGAGGTATTGTAATTACTTATATTATTTACATTGTTCAAACTGTTGTCCTCATCTTTATTGTTGTATTCACGACGTTTCGGCCGTTGTACGCTCCGGCCTTCTTCAGGTGAATGGAATTTCGAACTGAACCCTTTATTTCGTCTACCGGGGTAGATTGTTCTAGTTCCATGTTCCATGCCTCTTCCGGATGTCTCAGTTATCTCCCTTTAATTCAGCTCTCCAAACTTGTGTGTTTTTGTTTTTTTGGGGGTTTTTTGGGGGTTTTTTGTTTTATTTTTTTGCGGTAGCCAGGTATTGAACTCAAAGAATTGGTTGGATCCAGTGACTTGAGCCAAAGACTTGTGAGTTCAAATTCCAATCACCTGAAGAAAGCCAACGCGTACAACGGCCAAAACGTCGTGAATATGGCAATAAAGATGAGGACAACAATCTGAGCAATGTAAATAATGTAAATAACGAATCAAATACTACAAATTGATTCGTTTTCTATTGCTTATCAGCCCTTTGCAGCTTATTTAAAAACAGAAAACAATTTTGGATTTCAAGAGACTTTTAGGATATGATAATGATTTAGTGATATAAATTTTACTAATTAACTCATAGATGGAGGAGAAGAGGTGGATTCATACCTTTCCCAATGATATTTGCGCGTAAGTGAATATAACGAACACGATTGGAATTGGAACTCGGATCTCCGATTAACGAATCCATTACATCAACTGCACATCCAAGCTTACAGCACCTGGTATTCCCAAGCGGTCACCCATGTAGGTACTGACCAGGCTTAACTTCGGTGATCGTAGAGAGAACAGACTTTCAACATGATATGACCGTAAGCCATACGAACGACCCATCCAAGCTACAGCACTTGGAATTCCCAAGTTGTCCCCCCATCTAGGTAATGATGAGGTTCGATGTTGCTTAACTTCGGTGATCGTATAGGAACAGGTCTTTCGACGAAATGTGGCCGTAAACCCCAAGTACCACAGATCAGATAACCAAAATGAACCATTCGGAAATGTCGAACCAAATGAGATTTGATATTTGGTAAAGGTGACTGGCCTTTAGAATAGGATAAAAGTTGACAATTTATTTCTCTATAGTTCACACTTGAAAAAGTCTCCAGACCCAAAAAGTAAGGAAAACGTTTAATAAGTTTTGCCTTCCGCCAGTACGGCTGATGCTAACCTCCAAGAGAGAGACTCCTTGCGCCTTCTCGGGCTAACGTCTTCCGCTGACATGAAGTAGAAAGGTTATATTGAATCAATTCCTACATCTGCTGCTAGGAAAGTTAGTTCACTGTGTCGTGCTAGACATTTTTTTCTCTCCCGAATCTATCTTACACATTTATAAGTCTAACATTCGTTCATACAGTGAATATTGCTGTTACATCTGGTTGGTGCTTCTGCTATGTATTTACAGATTCTTGATAAAATGCAAAGAAGTATCTGCAATATTATTGATCCTGAGCTGGTATCTCGGATTCAGTCACTATCGCTGTAATATAGCTCACCTGTGACTTTTCTATAAATATTTCCACGGTAATTTTTCTGAAGAGCTTTCCACTTTTGGTATGTCGACCACGAATTTAATAGCAGTACGAGATTGGTAGCTATGTCTCATCATTTTACAGTTTAATTTGCTAAATGTAACCATAAGTCAATTATGTACCATGCGTGATACACGCTTAGGCGATCATGTATATTTCGATACATGACTGACGAGGCAGATTTTTTTCCCACAGTAGGTTGCTATTTCTCTTCTGCGGTAGACCAGTTGCCATCCAAGTCTATAGAACCCGGTCTGTCCTGCTATTTACCCATAGCTGGGGGTAGAAGAGGATTCATACCTTTCTCAAGGGTATTAGCACGTAAGTGAATGTAATGGATTCGACTGGAATTTGAACTCGGCTCTCCGATTCCTCAGTCCAAGCCGCTATGCATTACTCTGCCGTAAGCAGTTTCTTTTCTTGCACTTACCACTTAAGGAACTCTTAATTTTGATATTCAAAAATTTAAATTTAAATGCAATGTCAAATCGCCTTCTGTCTTCTTAATTCCTATTCTTTTATTGTTCTCTTTTCTTAATAGTTTTCTTTATCTCATGTTCTCTCACACTCAGTAACCCCTTCGCGTCTTAATGACTTTATTGCCTTGCTTGGGTTGAAATGATTCAAAAAACTAATTATTATATAATTCATATTTATCCCTCAAATTGTTAGTACAGTATTAATTCGCAAAAAGAGGAATTATACAATTCAAAAATATTTCGGTTTCAAATAACCCCAAAAAGGTCGATAAGCCTTAAAACAAATCAACCCACCAGTGAGTGAAGAACTTGATATATCCAAAAACATATATATACTATTAAAAAGTAAAAGAAAGAAAAATTGTTAAACTTTGCCTTATTCGGTGAATGACGTAAATAAAACGTTTTTGACACGTCACGGCGTAAAATATGACAGAATATATATTTTTCTTTTTCAATTGTCTAAAACGAATGTATGTTTTCTTCGTAAAATGCAATCTAAGTCTATGTTCATCAATCATTTCAGCTTGGAGAAATCGAATCGATTTTTATAAGAGCTTTATAGCAATGTGAATCGAATCACGTGATTATGACGTCATATCTACGCATATTAGTTTCTTCATACAATGTTTCTATTTTCGTGTTCCGGTTCATTTTGCAGAAAAAGAAAATCAAACAAAACCATTGACTGCGACGAACTGAAGTCTGTAGACAACGTTTCTATGAGCCAAGGTAAGTGCATTATAATTAAAAAACTAACAGTAATTTGTTTCGAATTAAAAATAACCATGCCTATTGAACTTTACATCATTTCATCATTACGTTTCATCATTAGCTTTATTGAACAATATTTTTAATGGCATTTAATAATAATAATAATAATAATAATAATCTGCAACGTTATCAATCCTAACCTGTCATCTCGGCTTCAGTCACTTTCCTACCGCCGTAACGTAGCTTCCCGATGCCTTTTCTAAAAACATTTTCACTGCAATATTTTTCTGGTAAGTTTTCCTCTTTGGTACCTGAAATTCCCAAATTTAAGGGCAGTACTAGATTGGCAGCTAGGTCTTACTGTTGAAATTGTTAGATGTAACCGTAAGTTCTATGTTAATAATTTCTTCTCCGGCACTTCTCGCTCGTGGAGCCCTGTTCTCGCTTCTTGATCCCCCTGTCAACTACGGTCTTCAAAAATTTGTATGCAACGTCAACCGTCGTCATCTGTGTCCTTAAATCCCGTTATTTTATTGTGCCTTCTGTTACTTTCACTCTCAGTAACTCCTTGCGTCTTAGTGGCTTCATCACCTTTCTTGGTGTGAAATGATTAAAACAGGAAACTGCTGTGCATTCTTGGGAAAAGTAAAAGAGTGGTTCCACGTTGCCTTCTGAACGGTTTGATAGCTACCTTGTTATTTAACCCGGAGACTGAACAATAGTCGAGAAACTTATTTTTCCGAAAGATTGTTTAAGAAAAAGATTTTATAAACTCAGCAACACTGGCTCCCCGGTCAATGAATGCCTAATGAATGTCAATGAATGCCTAATGAATGCCAATGAATGCCTAATGGATGTCAATGAATGCCTAATGAATGTCAATGAAATATTATCGTCAGCATTACAAGGTCCTAACAAGATCCTGGTATTAATCAAAGCACAATCAATGTAACCAAATTAACATGATTTAAACTTTATTAATAGGATTCAATACAGCAGATGTAGCAATTGTATATTGATGATAAAACGCAGACTTGTGTTAACTGATGTGCTGACGTACAAAATCCCGATGTCTATATATTCGTTTGTTTTAATTTAAACGTCTCCGTGTATAATACGCGATGTGTATTTGTATATTTGCGTCTATAACGTTCTGTTGTACGAAAGTTATCTCCCCTTGTCAGTTTCCGTTATAACAATGGCAGATTATTCCAAAATGTTTACGAATAATTTTTAACAACAATAATAATTGGGAAAATATATTTCATAACTCAAATTTTATGACATGAACAAACTAATAATGATAACAGATTCTAGCTGACCTAAAGTGGGGGATCGAATTTTTTCAGTGAGTATCTAGTAAACTGATCCCCACCCCCATTCCAGAATTACTACATAGTAATATATTTGGAAAAATATAAAAACTCATATATTCCGTTAGTTTTATGACATGAACAAACTAATAATGATAAAATTTTTGCGGACATAAAGTGGGGGATCGAATTTTTCAGTGAGTAAGTAGTATACTGATCCCTCCCCAGAATTACTGCATAGTAATATATTTGGAAAAATATAAAAACTCATATATTCCGTTAGTTTTATAACATGAACAAACTAATAATGATAACAGATTCTAGCTGACCTAAAGTGGGGGGCCGAAACTTTTTTTTAAACTGTCTCTTCCTGATTCTGAAGTGTTCTTTTTGTTGTCATTTTCTTTAAGAATTGCTCGTTGAATTACTTGCTCCGACCATAGAATTCTCAATATCCTTCTGTAGAACTACATTTCTGTTGTCTCCATTTTTTTTCTGCGTCAGGATGGGGATATTGTCCAGTATTCACTGCCATGTCAGAGGATTGATAACAATTAGCAATTCATTACTCTTTTCTTGTTTCTAGCGATATTTTCTGTTTTTTCAGCATTTTGCTTTACGGATCTAAATCAAAGTTTGTAACATTGAGTTACGTTTTTAAGTCTTCTGCTAAAATAATACCCTTGCAGAATAAATACGCAATTAAAACATATCTGTCATGAGATCAGTAATTATTTGAACTGTCATACAAAGTGAGAAGAATTGTTTGTCTTTTTTGTTTATTTTATTTCAGATTTTATCATTTAAATCTGTATTAAAACGATAACATGGATTGATTAATATATACGAGATTTTTTCCCCAAACAGTTGAACATTTGAACTTAGCATACGATGAGACTGAAGCAGGGAATATTTACCAAAATACAGTGTCGTTGGCAAAAGACAACATCTTGTTGTATATTGAAAGAAATAAAATGGAAGAAGAACCGTTTGCGAATGAGTTTTCGGTAAGAAATCTTTTTAAACACATTTACAGACAGCATATACATACATAGCACATGTATATCCTATATATATCCTATATATATATATATATATATATATATATATATATATATATATATATATATATATATATATATTACGATAAACGTGCAATCAATTTACAAATACATGAATTATTCACACAAAACTAATGCAAGGTTAATGCTTTAAATGGCGAGACATCCATCATCGCAAACAATTCAAATATTATACAAAACCTCCAGATCGTTGGAATGAATTGATCCTTGTTTATATAAATTTCTACAGTAGTTGTTATTTCTACACAACTTTCGTCTGAAAAAGACATCCAGTATAAAAATTTGTTCTTGGTTTTTCTCTTTGCAATAAACGAAAATATGTTTGTTGTAAAATTTAAAATCAAAATGAGTTATTGGTTTTGGAACGTTCCAAAGCAACAATAGTTTGATTTTAAATTTTAAAAGCATTTTCGTTTATACCAAATATTTTGTTGAACAAATTTTTTACTAAGAGAAATTTTTCTGTCAAGAACAACATCTATATTCTATAATTGAAGATAATGTAGGAACAGACGAAAGCTTGTAGTAAAAATAACAACTAATACGGCAGAAATTTATATAAACAAGGATCAATTCATTCATAACGGATCTGGAGGTTTTTGTATACTATTTGAATTGTTTGCGATGATGGATGTCTCGACATTTAAAGCATTAACCTTTGCATTAGTTTTGTGTGAATAATTCATGTATTTATATATATATATATATATATATATATATATATATATATGTATGTATGTATGTATGTATGTATGTATGTATATGCATGTATATATTATATATTGGCGAGAATAAGTTTAAGACCAATGGTTAAAGTTTTATTTATTTCAGAATATGTTTTTAATAAAACAATATAAATTAGTTTTATTGTGTACGCTTTATGAAGAATTTATTTTTCTATCGAATGATGTAAAAATTGTATATTTTTCTACAACTTGTACAATTTTAATGCTGGATTAATTTAAATTATCCAAATTTGCCACCAAAATAAGTTTAAGACCACATGGGTATTTTTATATTTAAAACAAAAAGTTATAGTAAAAAGAGCAAAAAAAAAAAAACAACAAAATATTTATCAATATTTAGTACCGTAACCTTTACTATTAATACAGCTCCATATCACCTAGGCATCGAGCTTGATAAGTTAGCACAAAAATCATTTTGAATGCTCTGCCATATTTGCCTAATATAGACGTGTAATTGGGCTAAATTTGTCGGTTTTTTTAGCGTGAACTCATTTAGAAATATAATTCTATAAAATTCCAATCGGATTAAGATCTGGACGCTGTGGAGGCTACTGAATGACATCCATATTATGATGATCAAAAAATTGCATTAGTTTTTGGCTTTGTGAATGGGGCTATTGTTGATAATTCGCTCCAGGTGGCATTTGCTCAGTCAAATGTGGCAGAACATGTTCCTTAACTGGCTGCATATAGCCTACACTGTTGAGTTTTCCATCAACTTTAACAATTGGACCAATGCCAAAGCTATTGAAAGCATCCCACACCATTTCACTACCGCCTCCCGCTTGCGCTGTATTTTTGACATATTTAGGATGAAATTATTCGGTTGGGCGGCGTCTGACAAAGGTTTTTCCATCCGATCTAAAGATGCAAAACGTGGCTCGTCACACCAGTCGTCGACCACTGAATGTGACTTTTCGCGAAATTCAACCGCTTGAGTCAATTCCTCTCCGAAATAACTGGCTTTTTTCTAGCAATACGCCTGAATAATCCAGATTCTCTTAGACGGTTTCGTACAGTTTTAACAGATAATTGACTGCAAATGTCCACTGCCGTCAGCATTCGGTTTGCTTCGAAAAGCCTACGAATTCGTCTATCCAATTGCACTTGTTTTTCTTGGGGCTCCAGACCTTTGCTTATCTTTATATTGTCCAGTATCCTGGCTAAATTTCCAAGCCTGAACACAAGTCGTTTTGCTGCACTTTAATTGCTTGCTTATGCTCATAAAGGAAACGTTTTGTTAATGAACTAACACAATTTTTGATCTAGTCACTGGGCTCAGACTATAACTCTTTACCATAGTGAATTAATTGTATAACAATGCTCAGTTATTGCACTATATAATGCATTAATGACCAGCCATGTGACCACCCGTTTAGCAAATAATTTGCATAATGCCCATGCGGTCTTAAACTCATTTTGCCGGCAAATTTGGATAATTTAAATTAATCCAGCATTAAATTTTTCAAGTTGTATAAATATATACAATTTTTATATCATTCGAAAAAGAAATAAATTCTTCATAAAGCGTACACAATACAACTAATTTACAGAAACATATTCTGAAATGAATAAAAATTTAACCATCGGTCTTAAACTTATAAAACAGAATATGTCTCTGTGTGTGTGTGTCTGTCTGTGCGATACCTTTTCACTCGAGATCCATTCAACCGATTTTGACCAAAATTGGCACATATATTGAACTATGTAATCAATTAACTGAATAGTATTGAATTTCTAGAGTTTTCATAAAATTAGTTATGGGGGGTTGTAATAAATATCAAAAAATATATTATTGCCATGACTTTAAAAAAAGAAAACATATTTATAATAATTTCCATTTGTGAATAGTTTCTGAAAGTTTCATTAACATCCGACAATTATTTTTATTTTTGCAAGATTTTCCAAAATTAATGTCTGCCATACAAAAAGAAAACTGCTAAAATTTTATGTTATTTAGTAGTTCCGCTGATACAAAAAGAAAGAAAGTTTTTTAATCAAAAGTTAGAAAGTTCTAAAAATAAGTAAATAGTTTGTTTTTTTTTTGTTTTTTTTTACTAATGTTCTTCCAATGCAAAGCCCAAAAGCCACTCAAGATAGAAGGTTACTATTTGGTGTTGTATGAGCGTAAGAAAAGGCAAAAAGTGTAGCTCATAAGATTATGTAGGAAAAATAACAGTTAACCTTAGACTTGAAGAATTTAAGATGTTGATGATCGGGAAATCCTCCTGCTGAGTGTCTGTTCCAAAGATCAGCCGTCCTTAGGATGAGCTGTTCGAGTGGAACTTACGAAAGGAATGGGGATGATTCATCCGTGGATATACGGTATGTTAGTTCCCAGCTGCAAAGATCAGAGCTGGTGGAACCAAGGAATATATCGTGCCACATTCCATTCGTATTCCATCATCGAGGAGTAAGTTCCACTCGAACAGCTTTTTCACTGCTCTGTGGAACAGACTCCCAAGATGTTTCCCCGATCGTTACAATCTTAAGCTGTTCAAGTTTAGAGTTAACTATTATATACTTTCCCTATCTGTATAAACCATGCCTTATCGTAACCCTTTACCTCGAGTGGGCGCCGGATCTTATACAGGGTGAACCTTAATGTAAAAAAAAAAAAAAATGTTTATTTTCTAGGGCGAGGTTTTGTCTTTTCAGGTTGGTTTGAACCAAGGATCGGCAACCTACGGCCCGCAGGCCGGATCCGGCTCGCGAATGTATTTTGACCGGTCCGCGAGCCTGATTACCAATGACTCTATTATTTTTAACATGAGAGACTACCTTCAAATGAAATTTGTTATATGTCATTTTCCATAGAATGTCTACACATCTCAGTGCACTAAAAATATTAGACTACCTGCCAGTTATCTCTCATGAGACTTATTTTACTAAGTTGCATTGCCTACGTTTAATGTCAAATAATGGATACATATTTGTTATGGCCCTTGGCTACATTAAAAGATAACAGAAGCAAAAGGAACGATAAAGTGAAGGAAGCCAGGAAGGGACTGACATGCGAGGTAGCAGAAATCTAAAGACAGTTAAACATACGCGCATTATACATACGTGCCTCATGAATGTGTGGATGATACTGCATGTGTACGTACGTAAGTGTATATGTTTGCAACTATTTGTACACGTATGTATGGGTATATGTGCTTCGTTTTTGTTTGATGTGTGTGTGTGTGTGGTTCGTTTGTGGAACAATTTTCAATAACAGTTTCAAACCTACACGTCATAATTTCATCCATTTCACTTCGGTTAATTTTTTTCACTTTGAAGTATTTTGACGTTCCTTGAGGAAAAGTAATTTTTGTTAGGTGTTTTTTAATTTTAGATTTTCTTTTGTTTTTCTGATTTCTCAATGTTTATTTTCATTATGTTTTTAAATATTTAGGTTGACAGGGGTCTGCAGATGTAATTTTCCTTAATTTTTCATTAATGGCCTTCGTCCGGCCTGCGGCCCGTCATTATAACACGATCCGGCCCGCGGGGTCGAATGAGTTGCCCACCCTGGTTTCAACTGTACCATTGCGATCTTTGTCAATGCATTTCTCAAGTCGTGTTAATAAATATTAATTTGATAAGATCTTATAGTAATTACGTAAACATAAATGAATTGAATATTTTGATTCTTTTGACTCCATATTAAATACCTAAATTTAAACTTATATATTTACTAGTTTTAACTCGTGGAAATTTCACGGTTTTCCTATTTGATGAATCTTAATTCTTCAGTCAATGTCCGAATAAGCTCTTGGCGAGTTTTACGAGAATAAAATATCTGTAGAAGATCCCCCTATCGCATTGTTAAATATTTTGAGCTTAACAACTTTAACAAAAGATTGTCATTACAATCATAAATATGAATGCGGGTCGTTATGTCAAGAAGTAAGGGGATACAAATGAAAAGATTTGAAATTGACAACTTTTTCCATTTCATTAAAACAGACGTTAAACACTTCTACTCCCCTTCTTTCTTTCATTTACTCACTGAAACCAAGTAGCGTCTTTGATTTCTTTTGGCTTTCTACGCGATCAAAACCGAATAGTCCATCATTCATGAGATATTAGCAGGAAACATTAAACACTTCTATTCTTCTTACTTTTTGTCACTGAAACCAAGCAGCGTCTTTGGTGTCTCTTTTGTCTTTCCACGTGATCAAAACGGAGTAGACCACTATTTATCAGGTATTTGCAAGACGTAACGGTCGTGCGAACTAAAGAAGGGATAGAGGGAAGCAAAATTATTATAAGATTCTACGTTTTAAAATCGAATTAAAAAATTCCGTAAAGTAACAAACTGAAATATTTACATTAAAATAATTATAAAACTGTTTTTTTTTTAATTGCTTTTGTGTGTGTTTGTGAGTGTATCGATGTGTGCGTGTATGCAGGTGTGGGGATGCGTGCGTGCGTGCGTGCGTGTATATATGTGTGTTTTTGTGCGTGTTTTGGTGTGTCCATATTTGTGAATGTGTGCGCGTATGAATGTTTGTGTGTGCGTGTGCTTGTTTATATCTGTGTGTGTGTGTGTGTGTGTGTGTGTGTGTGTGTGTGAATGAACGCTGACAGTTCATATGAAATGAAAACGCCTTAAGTACTATTCATGTCTATTTACAGAGGCTGCCGCAGGGTCTTATCTTTCCTCACGATGCGGGAATTTTGGAAGTGAATACTAAAAAGAACCGCTACAAAACATTAGTTCCATGTAAGTAAAATTGGCTCCTTCCAAAATGGCATTTGTTCATATTCATTATTCAGAGATCGAAATTATACACTCAATGGCGTTTCTGAAAAGACCTCATCCGGACTCGCTAAGTTAAATCAGCATTAACATAAAATCTCATGTTTAGCGATTTACTAAGCGTAGATATGGCCCAAGACCGCGAGTATAGAGCAGACACGAAAGATCGAACTCACTACTAAATTAAGTGAGACGTGGTTTCTAACAATTACACCATGTTAGTTATTGATATCCTGACCTGTGAAAGTTAATCTGGTCGTCCAATCATGAAGGCATTCCAAAAGAAACCTGGTTTGGTTATTTGGTTAGCTATTTGAAAATTGGATTAGGCGGGAGGACCATTAAATTCACGCTAAGCTGAAAAAGTACTAATAATCTATTATTTAAGCATACACACAAATGCACACGCACACATATTTCTTTCGTTTTGGGATCTGATGAAGCCTAGAAAGGCGTAACGCGTAATCAAATCTAGTTTCAATGAAACAGTTGTCCATTTGTCATATTTCTTCACAACTTTGTCGGGATTCTATATCCTATTTTACACGCGCGCGAATACACACGCACATACACACTTCGGACACATTTTTCACGTAAAAACCTGCCGAATTTTACCGAGAAGTTATCGAAGAGCTGCCTGTTAGGTGGCAACAAGTTCGCAAATAATGGCGAATACATGATTAAATAAATTGTAATTATAGTTTATTTGCTTGAAGAATAAAGTTGTTAAACAAAAAACGGAATTTATTTCTGAATCAACTTAATAGTTGAGATCAAATGAAAAAAGAAATTGTCACGCTTTGTCTATGGTATAAGGTTCGTTTTTCTTCTTTCTTTCAGATGACTCTTCAAGGGTTGTCCTTTTACCAGATGAAATATCAAATTCAGATTATATTAATGCCAGTTACATCACTGTGAGTTTTTAAACAGCTATTTTTCTTTTCTTTTTTTTTCTTTTTTATCTGTTTGTCTGAAAAACAGTTTATGCAAACTGTTGGTAATGTTTCCAGCCATTTAGAAAAACTTGTGCGGTCTTGATAACAGCGACGTCTGACTGAATAGTCAGCAACAAAACGCTATTGAGCGAGCTTGTGCATTGTGTGGTCGTTGCAATTCTCAATGAATATAGTGATATTTCTAAGCGTACCTTATATATGGCACAGGTCCGAATGTATGGGGTACCCAGTGAGGATCGAACTCAGTACTCACTCGTAATTAATGTAGCGAGAGAAGCTTTATAACCATTACACGACATCGAAATGCCCATAATTCACTATGAATATGTATTAGCTTTTACTTAGAAACTCGACATTACTCAGAAATGAGGAATGATTAACAATGGTTTAGAGTGTGAATCAGTGGCTGTGATCTGGATATTTAAGCAGCAGAACATTAGCTTAATGGATATCTCACTTGCCTGCTTATCATCTTTTAGATGAATTCCACCGTCTCCTTCCCCTCTCCTCATATATATATATATATATATATATATATATATATATATATATACCCAAATGTAAAAGAATAAAATTACAAAGTTCAAAACATTAATTTAAAACAGGACTCAATACAAAAGTAGAGCAATAAATATTTATTATACACTGTTACATTAGAACATGTATATATATATATATATATATATATATATATATGTGTGTGTGTGTGTGTGTGTGTGTGTGTGTGTTAAAAAGAAGAGAAAAACCGCAAACATTTTTGGTTGTAATGTGGATTTTTTAAAAAGTATATATCATATTTTATTTACCATAATGGAAAATAAATTATAATATATATTTTAAAAAAATATCCACATTGCAATCAAAAACGTCTGCGGTTTCTCTCTTCTTTTTATAATATACACTTTTCTCCCGTTGGAACAACTATAACCTCTTCCCTATATATATATATATATATATATATATATATATATATATATATATAATATTTGAATTATTTTTATTATTTCACCCCAAGTAACAAAGCCAATAAGTCGCAAGGGGTTACTGTGTGTGAAAGAATATGGGAAAAAAAGAAAAAAAAAACTTTATTAAGGAGAAAGAACAATAAAAGAACAGGAATTAAGAAAACAGAAGATGACGATTGTCATTGCATTTAAATTTTTGAAGATCAAAGTTGACTAGGAAAATAGAAGCTGGAATAGTGTTCCACAAGGAAGAAGTGCGAGATAAGAGACTGTTAGCATAGAACCTACGGTTGCATCAAGCCATTTCAATTGTAAAATGATGAAACCTAGCTGCTAATCTACTACTACGTTTAAATTCATAAAGTCTAGGTAAGAAAGAGGAAAGTTCATCAGCATAATTACCATGAAAGTATTTATAGAAAAGGCACGAAGAAGCTACGTTACGCCGGTGGGAAAGTAACTGAAGCTAAGATGCCAAGACGAGACGGATATCTGTCTATATTTCTGAGATGAGGTATTATGTACACTATTTACATTATTCGCCCTATTGTCCTCATCTTTGTCGCCATATTTATTACAACGTTTCGACCATTGTACGCTCCGGCCTTCTTCAGGTGGTTGGAATGTCGAACTGAACCCTTTATTTCGCTCACTGGGGTAGACTGTTCTAGTTAAGGCAGTGGAGAACTTGGAGAGGGGAATTAACAGGAGATAACTGATAACTGACATCCATTAGACGTAGAACTCGAACAATCTACGCCAGTCATTATTGGACTGTGTTATACCTGACGTACCTATTCTATTATTAATAGATTCTCCCACACATAATAAGTAGTAGTAGTAGTAACGGTCGACAGTTGGGCTCAGTGGTGTTGAGTGAGTCAGTCGATGTCGGACATTGAAGTATGATCCCCACAACTAGATTGCTGCGTCATTAACTCTTATTTCAAGTTCCTAACGTTTTGTACGTCGAACCTAATTTAGGACGACTTATTGAAATACAAGCCTCCACTGTGAAAACTACTCTACAACAGACTGAAACAAAGAAATTTGGGGATCATGAAATAGTTTAAAGCATAAATGAGTATCCTGAACTTATTACACCTGGCAGTACCAAATTGGGAATAGAAATTTCTGATCTAAATGCAGGGTTTCAATGTCTGTTATAAATATAAAATGTCTTCACTTGCTATATAGAACGTATACTTATGCAGTACACATTCAGTTTTTGTTTTTCTTTACAGGGGGGAGAAAAAAAAGATAGAGAGAGATAAAGACAAAGAGATAGCTGGTAGAAAAGAGAGAAAAAGAAAGAACAGAAAAGTTTTCTACTTCAGTAATCAGAATTTATATAAAGGATTCTGAGAACTTTTGCGCACATTTTTTTTTATTGGACAGTTAGATACTAAACATGTGACTATATTTCTGGGGACTATTCTGATAATTTGATATTTAAATGGCATGGTTTCCAAGAATTAAGTCTTGAGAAAACGCCATTGTCTCAGTTTGCTGACAAATAAAAAAGAATATGAACTAAATAAAATAATTTCTACCAGTCTAATTTAATAATTTTTACTTTTGTTTTTAATTAAATTCTATGTCCCTTCTTGTTATACTATCTCATGACTCTCCACAAATTTCTATTCTTTATCTGTGAATTATCATGACTTCTGAAAAGCAGCGGAATGGTTTCCTCTAACCTACATGGTTTGGAATTCAAAGTTATCCTTATTCTAGAGTGGTTGCCACTCAAGATTGGTGAACACAATTTACTCTAGTATTTAACTCATAGCTGGGACGAGATAAAATGGTATCATGCATTTCTCAAGGAAATTTCTATGAAAGTGAACATAACAAACTATGATTTGAACTCTGTTCGCTGATCCCATTTTCCACGCTGGTAACTGTTAAATTAACCTATACCGTTAAAATAAGGGTTACCGGCCACATTTTTCGTTAAAAATTAAACTGGGGACACTATTTCAGTACAAACGCCCGATTTATACATGTTTCATTGATAGCGACGTTGTGGTCAGTTTGATAAACTTTACTAATGATCTCGTTTTGTTTTTCAGGAAGGAAAGAAATATATTGCTACTCAAGGTAAGTTAGTTTCATTTCTGTTCTTTGATTTATTCAGGAAGATATATTTTTATTTTTTCTTATTAAAAAAAATTACTGAATCAAATAAAGATCTAAAGATTTATTCGTTTCTTCTAATTAATGTCCGTTGTTGCATAGCTTGAATTATGAAATTTTACCTCATTCTCTATAGTCAATTTATATCTCTCCTACTAATTATCACTTATTTAAGCATTTTGAGCTTTTCATACGCAGTAGAAAATTTTCCAATAAGAAAGAGGTAATTGAAGCATTTGAACTGTTTATCACATCAAAGAATGAGGATTTTTTAAAAGATCAGATCAAGAATTTAGAGGTACGTTGGAGAACAGTCATTCACCAATGTAGTATCTATTTCAAATGAATACATTGCTTATTCAACATTTCAGATGGTTTTTTTTATTAATTTACTATAAAATGTGACAACCTAATATTTGTTTTTGTTTTGTTTTCTGTTTTTGTTTGCTTTTGTTTTGTTTTTTCTTTTTTCCTTTTTTTTTTTTCTAATTTACATAAAAAAACGTAATTGTAAATCTTTTTCTGGTTTGTCACCGTCCAGGACCGATAACCGGGACGACTAACGATTTTTGGAAAATGATTTGGCAGGAAAAATGTAACACAATTATTATGTTGACTGACCTGATTGAAAATTGTAAGGTAAGGTAAACAAAAGCATTTTATAACATGATATACAATAGAAATATATCTATAAGTGTCTGTATCCCGTAACCTATTAGGATCGTAAAGACACACCATTTACTGCTTTTATAACCACAGTTGTGTGCCTAGGGCAGGATGGTCTGACGAAACCCAGCCCGCTTCAGGCTGATTTTGAATTCAGAATTTCTCTTAGACTGCTTACCGTCTCAAGGTAAGAGAATCAAGTCAGCTTTGCTATTTAACCCATAGCTGGGGAAAAAGTAATCCGTGCCTTTTCCGAGGTCATCAACGTGAAGTGAACGAAACAGAATCGAGCGGGAAATGAACTCGAGAAGCCTAATTCAATTTCTGCTCCACCAGAATTTTTGCCACTAAAAATTAAGCTAGGTTATAAGTAATTTCCGTTCTTTGGGGCCGATTATAAGGACGAATGTATCATCCTAACTACTAATAAACAGAAAAATAGCGGAAATTATTTACGACTCAACCTAGACGATGCCTTCTCGTATACACATACATTGAGACATATGTACTATTCAATTATGCAAGTTTTGTGATGTCAACAAACACTCGTTGCTACTTATATAATGTCAACGAATACTCGTTGTCACTTTCGTAACGCCTATTGTAGTAGAGACTTTGTAATCGCAGATACAACCATAGTAATTCCATTGGACAATACTTGTGTCAGATGCCTTCGAATAGCATTCGCACTAGTAGGAATTGCTCGATAAGTCACTCGAACAGTAATCCGTATAGTGATCCGAATAGAGGAATAGTATAGTAAATAGAGTAGAGAATAGCGGTCCTTATAGCAATAGAGGACAGAACAGAAATAGTGATCCGAATAGTAATAGAGGATAGACTAGAAATGGAGATCCGTATAATATAGAGCATAGGCTAGACATACTGATCGTTAGTCGTCAGCTACTTCCTACATATATGCGTTTCCTTTATGGTCCCGTGGTCTACTTAATTCAATAATGGGATCGCCTGTGTTTGCTCACTGGCGATCTATGTTCAAACTCAAGTGTCGGCAGCGGCACTTTATTTCTTTATAACAATTATACAAATCAAGTTTCAATGCTAAATTTACAAATGAACCAATTACTAGGTCATTTTTTCTCGACAGAATCCATCTTAGACGTTTATAAATCTCCCATTCGCCCGAGCATTGAATATTGCTCACATATCTGTTTGAATCGAGACAAAATCCAAAGAAGAGTCTGTTATGTTATCGGTCCTAATCTGGCATCTCGAATTTGTTCGCAGTTACCTGCCAATATATGTAGATTACTGAAAAATTGTTGAAAATTTTTACAGCTTTTTGAAACAATTCAGAGGGTGGCTATATGATAATAGCGGTGTTAAGTGAAAAAAGTACCTTTTTTTTTCTTTTTTGCCTGGTTCTAAGTTAAACTTTGACTGAAATTTGTTCCCAGTTACCTGTCCCTAAGAGACAACTGAAATTTCTGGGGCGCATAATGAGGAAGGAAGGCATGGAAAATCTGTTACGAGTACGACAGATTAAGGTGAAGAGGGTCAGAGGAAAACAACGCATAACGAGCTTGAGAAAATGGATGGTGGAACAGGGTTTAGAAATAACGAAAAGAAGAGTGAAGAGTCATAATCACCTACGTCCTGAAGGGGCACGGCACATAACGAGAACGCGTGTAAGAGCGAGAGAGATATAGATTTCTGAAGATTTGTTTGAAATTTTCAAATTTTAATTAAGCAAAATAAATTTGACCAGCATGTTACTTAATGAAAGTTATTGCCTGAGTGATTGTTTGATTATTATAATATTTGAAGGATGAATGTTTTATTGATATGAGTGTATCGAATATTACTTGCAACAGTGGAACTGGTGCTTCTGGTTTATACCTACAGATTCTTGCGAAAATCCAAAGAATCTGCAACGTTATCGGTCCTTACCTGGCATCTCGGCTTCAATCACTTTCCCACCATCATGACGTGGATTCCCTCTGTATTTTCTATAAATATTTTCGTGTTAACTGCTGTAATGAGTCCTCCTCCCTGGTACCTCGACCTCATGAATTTAAGTGCAGTACTAGATTGGAAACTAGGTCTCTTCGTTTTACTGTTGGAATAGATAATGTAACCGTAAATTCTGTTCTAATAGTTTCTTTTTTGATATTTTCCTCCTGTGGAACTCTCTTTTGGTTTTTTGCTACCCTGCCACCAAGGATCTTCAACCTCAATCGCTATCTTCTCATAAAACCAAAACTCACATTCACATGCATACACGCGTTCAAAGTATGGAACTTTTTTGCCTTTTTTTTTTTATAGATTTATTTTATATATTTTTTCAGTTGAAATGTGTGCAGTACTGGCCAGATCTAAACCATACAGAAACTTACGGAAAATTCAAAATCCACTGCGTTCAAGAAAAAAAATACATGATTTACACTTATCGGCTGCTTTCAATCAGTAAGGTAAGAATGATTATCAAAAAAAAAAAAAGGAAAATTGATTTTTTTTTCTCAATTATCATAATATTGTATAGAGTGTAGTATATTCGACTAAAAGGAAACACAGTACCTTTACATGTGCTAATCTATCTATTTTACATATATATAAGTTTGCCATTCGTCCTTGCTTTGAATACTGATGCCACATCTGACCTGGTGTTCCTGCTATATATTTGGAGATTCTTGATAAAATCTAAAGAATAATCTGCAATGTTATTGGGACTGACCTGGCATCTCGCCTTCAGTCACTTTCTGCCGTAGTATAGCTTCCCTGTGTCTTTTCTATAATTTCATGGTAATTGTTTCGATGATCTTTCCTCTATTGGAGCTAGTTTTTAAATTGTTGTTTTATTCCCCCACCCAACCCCACAGAAAATGAATTGTACATATGAGGACTTGTTAGGACTTTCATAGATACAATGAGGTATTATGGTGGATGTAAGAAAGGTAAGTAAGAATGCGTTGTTTTGGTGATAGGACTATTGTTGGTATGTTTGGGTCAGTGTTTGTGGCTAGCTAAGTTTAATGTTAAGACAGAACAAGACCGTCCTTTTCCCCATTCCCCATTTTGGCATTGTGCCACATTTTCTGTAAATAAACAGAAATAAATATCACTTTCCTCTGTGGTAGCTAGACTTTATGAATTTGAGCGCAGTACTTGATTGTGATTTATGGTATAAATAACTAGATATAAGTCTATGTTAACAGTTTCTTCTATGGCACTTCTCGCTTGTGGGACTCTCTTCCAGCTTCCTGCTTCCCAGTCAACTTTGATCTTTAAAAATGTAGATGCAATGCCAATCATTATCTACTGTCGTCTTAATTCTTCTTTTAATATTCTCCCTCCTTAATACTGTTTTTTTTTCTTCATATTCTCTAACTCTCAGTAACCCCCTTGTGTCGTAGTGGCTTTATTGAAACGACTAAAAAAAAATATACAAAAGTTAATGAAGATATAAACACTTCAATGGAAGTTGGATAGAGTTGATTGTAAGAATTGCTAAAACGATAGCTTTTCTTTCATCTTAGAATAAATGAACATCTTTTAAAAGAAAAATATTTTTTAACTTTATTGGTCCGATCGTAATATCTAATTTCTCCCAAAGCACAAACTGCATATTTCAAATCCGAAACTATTCCTACATTTTTCGGTCAAACAATATTCATTGCCAATTGTTTTGCAAGTGTCTTGCGGTTACGTGCAGACACCTGTTCGCGTATGATCACCGGAGTTAAGCAACGTGGATTCTGATCCCTACTTTAGGGTGACCGCTTGGAAATACCAGGCAGTGTAAGTTTGAATGCGCGGGTGGTGTAATGGATAACGGCTCGGAATTTTTAAACGAAGAGCAAAGTTCGAATTCCAGTCTGGTTCGTGTTATCCTCTTACGCGCAAATACCCTTGGGAAAGGTATGAATCCACCGCTTCTCCCCATAGCTATGGGTTAATTAATAAGATTTTTATCGCTAAACAATTATTTCTCCTACTCCCACCTTCAAAATTCTTACAATCTGGAAATATATTCTGGCTTTAAAAAAACCTGCAAAGGGTTGATAAGCCATTAAAAACGAATCAATCAATTTTTTACAAGAATGCTTTTTTTTCTCTCCCTCTTTTAATAATTAAGAATTCTGCCCATATCCTTCTGGTATCAGTTAAAACTTACGTCTTCTTTTTTTCAATATATTGTTAATGAAAGTTAGAATTCTCCTGATTTCCGGTGAGGATTCTGAAATTTTCCAACTTATTCCAGTGAAATTTTAAGTTTCCCAAAATTATAGTTTAGATACAGGTCGAGGGAAAGGTGTAAATTTAACCTGACACCGGGGTGAGGGATATTTCATATTATCTCCTTTATTTGACGACCTCGGTCTGTCCAGTAAACACTTAATAAACAAGATTTATACTGTGAATGTACAACCTTTCTTTCAGGCAAGTAGTTTGTCACAAGAAGAAAGTTTTATAGACCATTTCCAATGTACAACCTGGCCTGACCATGACGTGCCCGAAGACCCAATATATTTCATCGAATTCAGAAATAAAATACGGCATATGAAGTCATCAAAGCCACCATATGTTGTACATTGTAGGTAAGTAATTTGCTTTATTTTTTCTGCAACCTTTTTGGCTTATTAAGCCAGTGCTACTCGAGTTATGCTATCCTTCATTCCCTGGCTATTGGGCTGGGATCAAAGTGTAGTATCTGCCCTCGGACGGATAAACTACATTTTATATCTGAATTGCGTATCTATTTTCGAACAGAGCGCAACGCAGTTGTTGTCGCTGTCGATAGAGTGCAACAGATAATATTATTGAGAGGTTCCCGGTTTCGGGGATGTTGGGGCGCACCCACCTTCTAACTAGTAATGGACTGGTCCCTCTTATATAAGTCAGCTCTGGAGAGAGTGGGAGAGCGTCAGAGAGAGAGAGTCAGCGTGAGCAGTCCAGATAAGCTTACCCGGTACATACCGTTGGACTATAGACTTTGGATATTGTTTCGTACTAACCAACCTTCGTTCTACTAATCACTCTATTGTTAATTGCTTTTATGAATATACCAGTATTTTCCTCTACAACTGTGTTTGTCTTGATTCATACACCCACACGCGGGAAACTCACAACATCTCAACAGTGGCGACTTGGCATCAAAATCACCACAAATTTTACAGAAGCCATGGCCAAAAACCGACAGGCCATGGTCAAGGATTCACATTGATTTTGCGGGTCCAATTGACGGATGGCATTATTTGGTCGTAGTCGACAGTTTTAGTAAATGGCCCGAAGTTTTTCAAATGAAGAGGCCAACATCTCAAAATACAATAAACAAATTACATGAATTATTTGCAAGGTTTGGGTGGTAGATACTGTTGTTAGTGACAACGGTACCCAATTCACAAGCAAAGAATTCACAGAATTCTGCCAAAATTTCCAAGTTGATCACGTGAGGATTCCTCCGTATCACCCACGCAGCAACGGACTAGCCGAAAGGTTCGTCGATACACTGAAAAGAGCTCTTAGGAAAGCAACAGGTACCCCTGACTAGAAAGGCGTTACAGCTGTTCCTGCAAGTGTACCGAATTACCCCTGAATAAATCTGCCCCATCAGGCCTATCACCTGCGGAACTAATGTTCGCGAGAAAGGTCAGATCGGTTTTTGACAAATTGATACCAGAAAATAAGGTACACTCAACAGTCGCTATGGTTCCCAGGCGAAAATTTAACATTAATGAAAAATTTTTTTCAAAAATTATACAAATAATGCAACATCATGGGAACCAGGGGTCATAAAAAACGCATTGGGGATATGGTATACGTTATACAAGGAAACAAATTTACACACAAACGGCACATTAACCAGTTGAAGAAAAGAAAGACCGACGAATCGGTAGTAATTCCACAAGAAGACGAATTACACGAATTGTTTGATACGTTTGACCTGCAAATACCGCAGACTGAGCAGAAAAAACGCAGATCTGCAAGAAAACGTAAAGCGACACAAAATTTAATAATAGACCCGAAAAGGAAAAAATATTGATTTTTTTTTTTCCTTCCCACAATGAAAAAGAGAAAAAAAAAACAATTTTAGCGGGGGGTGTTGGGGCGCACCCACCTTCTAACTAGTAATGGACTGGTCCCTCTTATATAAGTCAGCTCTGGAGAGAGTGAGGGGAGCGTCAGAGAGAGAGAGAGAGAGTCAGCGTGAGCAGTCCAGATAAGCTTACCCGGTACATACCGTTGGACTATAGACTTTGGATATTGTTTCGTACTAACCAACCTTCGTTCTATTAATCACTCTATTGTTAATTGCTTTTATGAATATACCAGTATTTTCCTCTACAATTGTGTTTGTCTTAATTCATACACCGACACGCGGGAAACTCACAACATCTCAACAGGGGAACAGCTGCCTAAGGCAGTACCTCCCTTATTGCACTAAAGAGGGGAGATCGGTATTAATACCGATACCTGCGCAAGCGATGGTTGCTGGGACTGGGATATTTTTGTTTAACCTGGCCCGGGTGCATATGCTCGGGATCCCCACATTAAACTGACCTTGTATCACATCCTTCCAAGGTGGGACAGCAAGTAAATATTAAGTGTTGCATCTGTTCTTCTCATCTCTAATGATAATATTAGCTGTTTCCCTACAAGGAAACATTTGGCATTCATTGATAGAACTGCCAGTGTTATATGATTTATGCATTTCTTTACTCTCTTGACATCAGTCTAAGATCAAAGTGTAGTATCTATTCTCCTCATCTTTAATGGTAATGGTAATATTAGACGGAAGGAAACATTCGATATTCATTGTTCGTTACTGTCGAACTCTCTGCCTTGAGGAGAGAGGAACCCGGCTGAAGCTGTGCCGAAGGGCAAAGTTTCGTCCGGGGAGGTAGACAGGCCCGGACCCGTTTATGTGGGTTCTACGGGAATATTTTTGGCCGAGCCTACGAAAACTACGTAAACTCGACCTTGTGCCACATACATCCCTCATGGGGTGGGGTGGGGTATATTAAAATATTAACATTCGATTATCATTTACTGACTAGTCATTTCTGTTAGTTGAAATTTATTCAGTTTTTAAGGAAAATAATTTTCTCGAGTCCAGTAGATGTTATAGCACTTTCCAGCATTGATGTTAGTTTTCTTCCTAACCTTTTGTTTAATGTAGTGTGGAATGTCAGTACCTTGATTATGTCATCATGTTCCGTTTGTGCTATCCATTTTAATTGTTGCTGCTTCTGAAAATCCGCGTATGATGTGGTTTCTTTTATTTGCTACAGTTTTTTGTTCGTGATTCTGTAGCGCCAGTCCCCAATGTTAGAAAAATGATGTTCCTCTCTATAACCTACAGGGTTCCTTCGCTCGAAGACATTTTAATCATTGATCTGAGAAAGCAGTTGTATACAGTTGACAAGAGATTTCTCAACGAATCGAGCGCCATGCCTGGCATCGATAGGAAAATCTTGATCTGACGTAACTATTTAAGAATATGCATCGAGCTCTTAGGTGAATGTTTTGAGTTTTGGTATTGAAATTGCCATTAAAAAAACAATTGGTCATTGGAAGAAGAATTGGTCAAAAATCTACATAAAGAAAGTTTATAATGATATTTTATGTGCATTCTAACAAAATTATTTCTGCTATTGTCAACTGATGAAACAAAAAAGATGCTGCAGCATTAGTAGTAGTAGTAGTAGTAGTAGTAGTAGTAAATGTGCGGGGATGGGTGTTATGTATAAAGGCTCGGAATGAGAACTAGGAGAGCCGAGTTCGAATCCCAGTCGTGTTTATTATATTCACTTACGCACAAATACCCTTGGGAAAGGTAAGAATCCATCTCTATGGGTTGAATAGCAAAACAGATTGGGTTCTTTAGCCTTGGTTGGCAACCACTCTACCGCAAAAAGAAATGGTAACCTAATGCGGGAAAATCTTCTGCCTCGTCAGTCATGTATCGAAAGAGACATGGTTGCCCAAGCGTGTATCACGTATAGCACTTGACTGACTGACTGAGTAGCAACAAAAGCAGGAGTGGTTTTCTCATCACATGTCCCATCAGGATTTGACAACGGGAATAAAATCCAGAGGTCGTCATTTTTTTTCTGTAGGAGTTTTTAACCTCTCTGAGACAGATGATCTAGATACCTGTTGAATATTAGCGATCCTTTGAATGTCTGATTTTTCAAACGGATATGAGAAATAAGGCAAGCTGAATCACAAAATTTAGAGCAATGTGACTCTAGTGTCGTTTTGGGGGCGGGGGGAATAATACGAAATATTTTGAACGAAAACTAAAGGCAAAAATGTGGGAGCCGTATTATAAAAAGTAAACGTTTTTCTATGCTTAAAAATCTCTTATTTGAAACAGTATGATTGCATAAGCACTTAATTAGCATTACAAAGGATTAAAAAAAATTGAATAATGATAAATCCTTTTTTGAATCGAGGCTGGGTATGGTTTTGATAAATAAATATTTTCGGCTTTTCTGAGTTGTACATGTTTACAAATAATTTTGAAAAGGTCATGATTTTTCTCCTTTATATTGTATTTTGACAAAGTTTAACTTAGGACCAGGCAAAACCCACCCACACACACACACACACACACACACACACACACACACACACACACACACACGCGAGCGCGCGCGCGCGCGCACATACTCACGCACACACACATAGGCGCGCACACGCAGAAACAGTCTTGGCACTACTATTACTATATAATTCTTTGGTAATTGCTATTGTTTTGAAAAATCTATTTTTAGGATTTTAATAAAACCATAACATATAAAACATAATTTATAAATTTTTCTCTCGAGAAACGATAGCAAAAATATTAGACATATTTAGTTTATTCATTCAATTGTTTATTTACAAGTTTCTAAATATATGGAAGAATATCAATATTTTTTACAAGCGTATAGAATTTAATTTGTGAACTATAACAATTTATTTATATACGGCCTGTCCCCCCACCCAAATTTACACCATTTAAAATGTGAATATCCGAGTAACTACGTGTCCCAGACAAACGAAATTAAATAGGCTGTATGTTGACCAATAAAAGAGTTATTTATCAAAATTCCAACAAGATATTCAAAGGTATGTCGATTTTAAAGCTTCAATATTCGCACCACCTGTGACACGATATACGTCAAGATGACAGTCCAGCTCCTGCCAAATACGCTGTAGTATGCCTTGCGTAACATTCTCCAGCGCCCCAGTGATTCTCTGTTTAAGTTCCTCTGGGCTTGTAGGAAGAGGTTTGGGATATAGAACTAATTTTTCACATACTCCCATAGAAAAAATCACAAGATGTCAAGTGAGATGAATGTGATGGCCATTTCAACAGCACATTGTCATCATCACTGGCACGCCCGGTCCATCTTCCTGGTAGATTCTCACTGAGATAAGACCACACTGTCTGCTTTCCATTTGGTGGATTTTTCTTGAATTTTCTCGAAAATGCACGCTGCACACTCTTGTTTGTGTTCGAGTATATTCTAGCACACAAAATGACTTTTCATTTCTAGTAAACATCATTCTTCATCTTGAAAAATAAAAAATGAACATTCAACTTAGTTTTTACACATTTTATTAAAATTTGAGATCATTTAAGTGAGAATTGGCTATGTTATTAGACTATAAAATGATATTATTAGACTGTTTATTAGATTATAAAATGATGCCAATTTAGTGTGGCGAGGTCACCCGGTAGATTATAAAAATATACTTGCTTCATTATAAAGAATATACGAATAAACTGTAATGAAATATTACTTTTTTAACATATTATAAATATAGTTTTGTTATGATTTTTTAAAAAGATTTTGTAGTGTTATCGGTTCTAAACTGGCATCACGAATTTGTTCTCAGTTACCTGCCAATATATCTAGAGTGTAAGCGGAATGTGATTCTTGAGCGAGTTTTTTTGTGTGTGTGTGTGTGTGTGTGTGTGTGTGTGTGTGTGTGTGTGTGTGTGTGTCTCAGTAAGAGAAACAAATCGTTGCTTAACACTTCAAGGCGAGCACACCGCTATGTTTCTTACCAGACAGAAACTGTGGATGCGTTTGCTTCTTTTTCTATGGAAGAGTGCACATTGCTGGTAAACCGGAAGTTATCCATAAATTGTCAAGAGGAGTCGCAGTGTGTGGTCAGGCGGATAGTAAAAAATTGTAGCTGAAGGAAGGTATACAAGTCGATTCTCGATCGGCATCACCTGGGTCACCGCGGAGGGGAGTATGATGTTGAAAGACCCGAAACCCCTAATGAACCTCGGCTAGAAACATCACGGATGATGTGTACCAAAGCATCCTATAGATGTATTTCACGAAAAGAGTAAATATAGATTTGTTATGAGTTTTTAAAAGATTTTCGGTCATGTTTTCAGTCCTGATCTGGCATCTCGAATTTGTTTCCAGTTACCCGCCGATATATCTAGATTTCTGAAATATTATTTACATTATTCGGACTATTGTCCTCATCTTTGTCGCCATATTTATCACAACGTTTCGGCCGTTGTACGCTCCGGCCTTCTTCAGGTGGTTGGAATGTCGGATCGAACCCTTTATTTTGCTCACTGGGGTAGACTGTTGTAGACAGTGGATAAAGGTGTTGGTTAGATCAACTGACATAACCCAAAAGAGTGTGAGTTCAATACCCAGCTAAGGCAGTGGAGAACTTTCAGAGGGAAAATTAACAGGAAATAACTAACTGACATCCATTAAACATGACACGTGGAACTAGAACAGTCTACCCCAGTGAGCAAAATAAAGGGTTCGATCCGACATTCCAACCACCTGAAGAAGGCCGGAGCGTACAACGGCCGAAACGTTGTGATAAATATGGCGACAAAGATGAGGACAATAGTCCGAATAATGTAAATAATGTACATAATACCTCATCTCAGAAATATAGACAGATATTTCTGAAATATTGTTGGAAATTTTCAAATTTTCAGTTTTTTTTTAAACAATTGCAGAGGAGATATATAATAATAATAATGGTCTAAATAGAAAAATACATTTTTTTTCTTTATTACCTGATCCTAAGTTAAACTTTGCCTGGAATTTTTTTCTCATTTAACTGCCCCTAAGAAACAATTTAAATTTCTGGGGCGCATAATGAGGAAAGAGTGCTTAGAAAATCTGTTACTCACAAGACAGGGTAAGAAGGACAGAAGAAAACACCGCATAACATACTTGACGAGCTTGAGAAAATGGATGGCGGGACTGGGTTTAGAAATAACGAAAAGGCATAATTGATTTAGAGTAGTAAAGGGCAGGAAATTGTGGAGAGCCATGATCACCTACGTCCCCGGGTTACACGGCACATACCGAGAACGCGTATGAGAAAGAGATGTAGATTTCAAAAGAATTGTTGGAAATTTTCAAATTTTAATTCGGCGAAATAAATTTGACCAGCACGTTACTTACTGAAAGTTACTGCCTGAGCGATTGTTCGTTTATTTTAATTTTTGAAGGATGGACATTTTATCGATATGAGTATATCAAATAATGCCTGCCAAATCTGGTCTGGTGTTTTTGTTTTATACCTAGAGATTCTTGACAAAATCCAAAGAAGAATCGGCAACTTTATCGATCCTAACCTGGCATCTCGGCTTTCCCAGTGTAGCACCCTGTGCCTTTTCTATAAATATTTTCACAGTAATTGTTGAGCTTTCCTCTTTGGTACTTCAACTTCACAAATTTAAGCGCAGTACTAGAATGGCAATTAGGTCTCATAATTTCAGTGCTGAAAAAGTAAATTCTATTCTAATTGTTTCTTCTCTTACACATCTCGCTTGTGGAACTCCCTTCCGACCTCCTCTTTGCTTGTTAACTACGATCTTCAAAAATTTAAATGCAATGTCAGTCATCAGCTTTTTTTTTTATCATTTCACCCCAAGCAAGGCGATAATGCCACTAGTACGCAAAGTCATTTCCGAGAGTGGAAGAGAATGAGACGAAAGCACAATAAACGAACAATCTTCGGAAAAAACAGAATATAGTGATTGGTGTTGTATTTAAATTTTTGAAGATTTTAGGTGGCGGGAAAGCGAGAAATCGGAAGGGAGCTCCACAGTCGAGAAGTGCGAGAAAAGAAGCTATTAGAATAGAACATACCGTTGCTTCTAGATAGTCCAATAGTAAAACGGTGAGACCTAGTTGCCAATCTAGTAGCATGCTTAAATTTATGCAGTTGAGGCACAGCGAGGAGGGACGCTCATCAGAACAAATGACGTGAAAATATCTGTAAAAAAAAGTCAGACGGAGGCTACGTCACGTCGGTGAGAAAGTGACTGAAGTCGAGATGTCAGGTCGATCGATTACATTACAGATCCTTCTTTGGATTTTTTTCAAGAATCTCAAGACATATAGTAGGATCACTAGACCAGATATGACAGCAATATTCCACGCACAGACGAATGGGTAGACTTATAAATGTGCATGTTGAATATTATGATAGGAAACTTTCTATTGTCCTTTCTGTTTCTTTCACTCTCAGTAACCCCACGTATCCTTGTTCGTGGATTTTATTGCCTCGCTTGGATTGAATAGATTAAAAGAAAATTCGTGTAAGAGTTCAATATTGTTTACACATTTCGATCAGATTAATTTCAAGCTTATTTGATTCTCCATATTTGGACTGATTTTTTTTTTTTTTTTTTTTTTTTTTTTGTAGTGCTGGTGTCGGGCGGACGGGAACGTACATAGCATTAGACATTCTTTTGGAAAAACTGTGGAAGAATTCAACTTTAGATGTTTTCAGCTGTGTGAATGAACTTCGTCAGCAAAGACCATTAATGGTACACCGAAGAGTAAGTAAAAAAAAATAAACATTTGAAACTTTTGTTTTAAACTTTGAATATTTTGAGAAGAGGTTGACCTGATAAAACCTCAGTTAGCACACTGGAAACGCTTCTAAAGAAATGCAACGGCAAATGAGAACGGCATAACAAAATATTAATAAAGATACGGACTTGGATGGCTGTTTCTAACAATGAAACGGAAGTTAAACAATAACGGTGAAAATTGTGTACATTTGTGGATAAAGTAAATTTGCATAAATCAGAAAGAGAAAATTGAAATTTTTAGTGCACTTCAAAAGGACATGTTGAATGCAAGAGGGAAAGCAACGAATAGTCTGCATAACGAGCTTGTGTAAATCGTTGGCAGAACAGGGATTAGGGGAGATAGAAAAAGGATAAAACTTACTAAGAGCTATAAAGAACAGGAACATGTGGAGAATCAGGATCGCCCAGGTCCTGAAAGGACATGGTTGGCAGAACCTATAGGAGATAGCCATATAACAAAAAACAAGTTTAAATGTTCAAATATAGAAGGCAAAAACAAGCCTATGTAAATGGTTGGCAGAACATGGATTAGGAGAGATAGCCATATAACAAAATTTACTAAGGGTTACAAAGTTGTGGAGAGCCATGATCACCAACGTCCTGAAGGGACATGGCCTATAGAAGGCGAAAAACAAGCCTATGTAAATGGTTGGCAGAACATGGATTAGGAGAGATAGCCATATAACAAGATTTACTAAGGGCTAAAAGTTGTGGAGAGCCATGATCACCAACGCCCTGAAGGACATGGCCTATAGAAGGCGAAAAAACAAGCCTATGTAAATGTTTGGCAGAACATGGATTAGGAGAGATAGCCATATAACAAAAATTTACTAAGGGCTGCAAAGTTGTGGAGAGCCATGATCACCAACGTCCTGAAGGGACATGGCCTATAGAAGGCGAAAAACAAGCCTATGTAAATGGTTGGCAGAACATGGATTAGGAGAGATAGCCATATAACAAGATTTACTAAGGGCTAAAAAGTTGTGGAGAGCCATGATCACCAACGCCCTGAAGGGACATGGCCTATAGAAGGCGAAAAACAAGCCTATGTAAATGGTTGGCAGAACATGGATTAGGAGAGATAGCCATATAACAAAATTTACTAAGGGTTACAAAGTTGTGGAGAGCCATGATCACCAACGCCCTGAAGGGACATGGCCTATAGAAGGCGAAAAACAAGCCTATGTAAATGGTTGGCAGAACATGGATTAGGAGAGATAGCCATATAACAAGATTTACTAAGGGCTAAAAAGTTGTAGAGAGCCATGATCACCAACGCCCTGAAGGTACATGGCCTATAGAAGGCAAAAACAAGCCTATGTAAATGGTTGGCAGAACATGGATTAGGAGAGATAGCCATATAACAAGATTTACTAAGGGCTGCAAAGTTGTGGAGAGCCATGATCACCAACGTCCTGAAGGGACATGGCCTATAGAAGGCGAAAAACAAGCCTATGTAAATGGTTGGCAGAACATGGATTAGGAGATAGCCATATAACAAGATTTACTGGAAGGAGAGGAAAAACATGATCACCAACGTCCTGAAAGGGACATGGCCTATAGAAGGCGAAAAACAAGCCTATGTAAATGTTTGTGAACATGGATTAGAGAGATAGCCATATAACAAGATTTACTAAGGGCTAAAAAGTTGTGGAGAGCCATGATCACCAACGCCCTGAAGGGACATGGCCTATGGAAGGCGAAAAACAAGCCTATGTAAATGGTTGGCAGAACATGGATTAGGAGAGATAGCCATATAACAAAATTTACTAAGGGCTACAAAGTTGTGGAGAGCCATGATCACCAACGTCCTGAAGGGACATGACCTATAGAAGGAAAAACAAGCCTATGTAAATGGTTGGCAGAACATGGATTAGGAGAGATAGCCATATAACAAAAATTTACTAAGGGCTACAAAGTTGTGGAGAGCCATGATCACCAACGCCCTGAAGGGACATGGCCTATAGAAGGCGAAAAAACAAGCCTATGTAAATGGTTGGCAGAACATGGATTAGGAGAGATAGCCATATAAAAAAAATTTACTAAGGGCTACAAAGTTGTGGAGAGCCATGATCACCCACCTCCTGAAGGGACATGACCTATAGAAGGCGAAAACAAGCCTATGTAAATGGTTGGCAGAACATGGATTAGGAGAGATAGCCATATAACAAAATTTACTAAGGGTTACAAAGTTGTGGAGAGCCATGATCACCAACGCCCTGAAGGGACATGGCCTATAGAAGGCGAAAAACAAGCCTATGTAAATGGTTGGCAGAACATGGATTAGGAGAGATAGCCATATAACAAAATTTACTAAGGGCTACAAAGTTGTGGAGAGTCATGATCACCAACGCCCTGAAGGGACATGGCCTATAGAAGGCGAAAAACAAGCCTATGTAAATGGTTGGCAGAACATGGATTAGGAGAGATAGCCATATAACAAAATTTACTAAGGGTTACAAAGTTGTGGAGAGCCATGATCACCAACGCCCTGAAGGGACATGGCCTATAGAAGGCGAAAAACAAGCCTATGTAAATGGTTGGCAGAACATGGATTAGGAGAGATAGCCATATAACAAAATTTACTAAGGGCTACAAAGTTGTGGCGAGCCATGATCGCCCACGTCCTGAAGGGACATGGCCTACAGAAGACGAAAAACAAACTTGTGCAAATGGTTGGTAGGACAGGGATTAGGAGAGTTGAGTATTATCGACGATTATGAATCTTAGATTGGGAGGAATATTACATCCGTTAATATATACAATTTCGAGCAAAGAAGAGAGTTGATACCGTAGAAATGTTCTGCAGAAGGATGGTGTGAGTCTCATCGCATGAAACTGTAAGCAACGAAGAAATTTTTAGAGGGAACTGAAACAAAAACGACACTTATACATTGAATCATAAAGAGAGAGTTGAAATTACTACGGGACATGATGAGAAAAGAGAGCTTGGAAAATTTAACACTCACAGGAACATGTTGAAAGCAAGAGTGACAGAAGAATGCAGCGAATAACCTATCTAACAAACTTGTGTAGATGCTTGGCGGAACAGAGGTTAAGAGAGATAGCAAAAAAGATAAATATTGCTAAATCCTACAAAGGAGAGGAATTTAGGTAGAACAATAATCACCCATGCCACATGCGCATGTGCAGTTACATAATCTTTATCCCGATGAAGTTCAAAACGACAAAACGCGTCGCAAGAAACGTTTTTCCATTTTGTCATAGATAGCTCTAAAATATATAATATATATATATATATATATATATATATATATATATATATATATATACCATAGTAGTTTTAATTTCAATAATGAATATGCTTATAAACGCGTAAATTTCAGGAATATGTTATTAAAAAAAAAATTTCGCTCTTGTTTTGAAACATGAGAACTCTTATGTAGCGTTGGAATCATATTTTTAAATAAATAATTATATATATATATATATATATATATATATATATATATATATATATATATATATATATATATACCGTAAAACAGCAAAATTGTCAAAATTGTGCAACAGAACTGGTGGATAATTGCCCATCCCACAAAATGTTTAATATCCCAAAAAACATTAAACTAATTGAGTTTCTTTTTCCAGGTCTTCAGATAAGACGTTTAGCCATATTGAGATCAATCTTCGTAAGGGTCACTAAAAAAAACCTTTGAGTTATTCAGCTAGAAAGAGAGCAGGTTAAAATCGTTTTGTATCAACCCCAATACGTCTTCTCAAATGAGCAATGGTGAGAGGAAAAAGATCCTTACGGCTTTCAGTAATAGTACCAACATTCATACTGTGACTTCCATCTTCAAAGTCCATTCAAGAATCACCAAGAGAATGGTGAATAAGTTTTAAAAAGAGGGAACAGTAGAGAGGAAAACTGGATCAGGAAGTCACAACAGCAAGAGGGATCATCATTTCAACTTAGAGCTAAATACATTCTTATTGCTCAAAGTAGAGTTCAATCGTTTTATAAAAACCTCGGAGAATTCCAGTAAGATATCTTTAATCATTTCTAAGATACAACTGTCCAAAGCTTAATCTAACAATTGAACAATTTTGCTGTTGCACGATTTGAACAATGTTGTTGTTATATATGATAGTATAGTTTTAAAATATAGTATATTAATTGGTTAAAGGGCTCACTGTCAGGGATAGAGCGTATGTAAATATAAATAATAAACAACAACAAATAAAGTAATCAATAATAAATAATGACTAAAAAGTTAATAAACACACTATAAGATAGTTACAAATAACTGCATTCGGATCCACAATTACTTTTAACGTATAGCCTCTAGAACAGGGGTCACCAAACTAGACCCGCAATGTCAGATCATTTGGCCCGCCTCCGCGCATGCCACAAATGAGCGAAAGTATTATTATTTATATGGAATTATCAATAGATTGTAGTTAAACTTACTATGTATGAAAAAAAAAAATAAATGTAAGTAAAAATGCCAAAATTTGGCCAATCAGATTTTTGCATTTGATAGCAATATAAGTTTTAGGAAAATCAGTGAAATAAAAAGTTTGCCAACTTTTTTGCGACATTTGATATCCGAACACTTTTTGTGTAAGTATCTGCAATGAAGTTTCTAAGAAAAGCGATTATAAGCTTTCTGTAACAATTATGTTTTTAATTACATTGCCGTGTTTAAACCGGTTTAAACGGTTTAAAGAGTGCCGTATATAAAAAGGACTGACTTCAACAAATTATGTCATATATTTTGCCTGAATTCATTATAAAATCTAAAGTATGTAAAGTCAGCACACGTAATGAGGTTGACTGATGAACAATTGAAAGCAATTCGCTTGTTTGGATGCAGCAATTCCAAAGCCAATATTGATTCTATCTTAAAAACATTAAATGCCAGTTTCACAAAACTCACTAAACTTTTTGGCTGCTTAGTTTGTGAAATTCGGATTTGTGCGAATTGGGTGTGGATATAACTATTTTATTGCTAACATCGCCTTCTTTGAGAACTTTTTGGTAAATAAATATGTTTGTTACGGTATTGAGAAAAACTACCCCTAGCGTAGCCTATTCTATGTTCCATTCCTTTATCCCCTTATACTAAATTTGTTATAACTGACCCATACACCGAAATATTTGAAGTGTCTAGGATTGTTATATAGGAATGAAGTGTCGCTGCCGACACTGTAGTTTAAACACAGATCACCAGAAAGCAAACACAGGCGATCCCATTTTGAATAAGTAGATTACGTGGCGCTTAATGAAATATGGCGTCTAAGTGATCTCTATACGGATTACTACATCGGGTCACTATTCGGTGGTTACTTTTCAAGCGAGTATTATCGAACAAGTACTATTAGTGGGAGTATTATTCGAAGGCGTCTGACATCAGTATTGTTCGACGACGTTACTGTGATTACAAAGTCTCTACTACAACGAGCATTACGAAAGTGACAACAAATATTCGTTGACATTACAAAAGTGGCAAAGAGTGTTCGTTGACATCACAAAAAGGATTTACTAATTCCATATCCTGGATTTTTAAGAAGGATTCAGGGTACGTGCCCAAACTGTTTTCATTCCAATTCTAGACCATCATATCTGTTTTTGAATAATTGTCATTTTTTTCTTGGTTTCTATTACTTCTTTCTATAAGAGTTCTTTAAGTTGCCTTTCCGTGGCTGTTATCAACACAGTATGAGCTGCGTGTCTTCTTTTGTCAAGATGATGTCCGCAAATAATAAATCTTGGTAGGACTTCTAGTTCTCTTTGGACCTTGTCGCTATATAGGATGAATAAATCTGGTTTTAAAATGCATCCTTGTCTTCTTCCTCTTTCTGTATTTGTGAGTTTACTGAATTCCCTCTTGACCGTATGCAAGTATTCAGTATAGGTGACGAATTACTCGAATCTCTCATCTTCATAAAACAACTTTGACGCTGGACTTTTTAACAGAAAAGTCTTTATCATTATAAATGCGTTTGAGTAGACACGGTTGTTTTTTTGTTTTTTTGTTTTTTTTTTCAACAGAGTAATTGACGTCTACCGGCCTGTGCATTAGAGAGTCTTAATGAAGAATGTATGCTTTTTCAGCGAGGTTCAATTTCTTTATCAAGACTTTGATTTTCTGATGTCTAGATTAGATTGGTTTATATCAATTTCACTGTTTATAAATATATATATATATGTGTGTGTGTGTGTGTGTGTGTGTGTGTGTGTGGTGTTTGCGTATGTATATCTGCGTGTGTGTGTCTGCGTGTATGTCTGTGAGTAGACATGGCTATATATATATATATATATATATATATATATATATATATATATAACAGGTACGTATACTCAAATACGTGTATCCACTAAATGTTATAGCCTAATTCTGCTTGTCCGCAGTTAGTTACTGCCGTATCACATTGCCTTATCTCATAAATAATGGACTATTCCGTTTTGATCGCGAGGAAATACGGAAAAGACATATAAGAGTGGCTGTTTGGACTCAGTGAAAGAAAGAAAGAAAGAAAGATGCAATTAATTTATGTGTTTAATGTCTGCTTCAGTGAAATGGAAAAACTATATCAAATCTTTTCGTTTGTACCCTCTTATTTCTTTAAATAATGACCTGCACTCATATTTATGATTGTTATTTAAAGACGCAACAGAGGAAATTCTACGGGTATTTTATAGTTGTAGAACTCACAATGGACTTAATTATTCATGAAACATTATGATACACCAGAAAATAGGAAAATCGTGAAATTTTCACAGATAATATTCATAACGGTTAGAGCAATAGCAAAGAAAGTCAGCTTTTAAATAAATCCCCGAATTACCTAATAACAAGCCCTCGTAATTTTCCCGGTGCAAGTTTAAGAAACTTTTATTATTTCTTCTTTTTTCCCTGTGATAATCTCCAGGAAAGTGACTCGTTGTACTTTATTGGGATAATGTTCTCAGCTGACATGAAGGTTGCTAGGTTATCTGCTAAGAAAGTTGTTAACTGGGGCAAAGAATGCCTTGTTAATTTTATCGACTCCGAAACAAAACAGCTCACTATTAAATCATCTGAGATAACCTTTTTGCCTTCTATCATCATGTTTGATGCTAACCATAGGCAGAGTGACTCGTTGCGCTTTCTCGTGTTAACATTCTCGGCTGACATGAAGTGAAAAGATTACATTGAATCTATTGCTAGGTGAACTGTGAAGAAAGTTGGTTCATTGTGTCGTATCTATCATAGTCTACCATTCTCAATGCTTAGAATATTGCTGCAACATATGGTCAGATGCCCCTACTATTTACCTTGACTTCCTTGATAAAATCCAATGAAGAAATCAGCAATATTATGGGTCCTGATCTGGCGGCTCGATTTCAGTCACTTTCCCACCGCCATACGGTTGCCTCTCTGTGTCTTTTCTATAAATACATTCATGGTAATTGTTCCGGTGAGCTCTTTGCTATGGTACGTGATGCGAATTTCAGACAGTTGAAAACCGTCCTTTTCCCCCATTCGCCACATTTTTTAAATATTACAAATAAATATCCCTCTTCGCTATGGTACCTTGACTTTTTTAATTTAAGCGCAGTACTAGACTGGCGTCGAGAATTCATCAATATACAGTTAGCTGGATTGATGTAGCTGTAAGTTCTATACTAACAGTTTCTTTTCTCGCACTTCTCCCCTGTGGAACTCCTTTCCGGCTCCTTACTTTCGAGCCAACTTTAATCTCCAAATATTTAAATGTAATATCAATCGCTATCTACTGTCCACATGGTTACTCTTTTCTCTCCACCCACTTCATTATTAATGTTTCTGTTCCTAATTCTTCCACATCCTGTAATCCCTTGTTTTTTTTTGAATGCCTTGCTTGGGATGATATCGATTTTTAAAAATCGAAGTTTATATCTTCTTAGCTCACAACTTTGTTTTTTTTTTTTTTTTATTACTGTTGGATTATTGATATTGTAGATTCAATATCAATTTATTTACGATGTTTTGGCTGAAGACCTTCTGACTGGCTTATCTGAAGTTGCAACGGAATTTATCCCCAAGGAATTTCGAAGGATGCTTCGTAGAGAAGACGATGTGAAGTCGCCACTTTTGGAACAGTATGAGGTTGGTACCGATATTTTACAATTCTTTAAAATTATGCCAAACATAGATTTAAGAAATTCGGTTTTTTAATTTCTTGCGTAATTAAATTTTTCTTCCAAGATTTTGAAAAGGTTTTGTTTTAATGGAAAGAAGATAAACTTTAAATCGAATCAAAAACAAAATATCCTCTGCTGACCGAATAATGTCCAAAACTGTACATCCCAGAATGCATTTCTCTTTGCAGAATTTATTGTTACCGCTGGGTGAACCAAGAAAGGATTTGTCTGACCAGAAAGAATCAATATATAAAAATGTTGGGAAAAATAACGGTATATTATTATTATTATTATTATTATTATTGTTGTTGTTGTTGCTACTGCTTTTGTTGTTGTTAAACAAAATGACGTAACTCTTCCAATATTTTTCAACAGTAAAGACTTAATAAAAGAAAAAAAGGAAAAGAAAAACAGTTTTTGACAATGTTAAACAATATCTTGTAAATGCTGCTTTGGTTTATGCGTTGAGGTTATCAAATGTAATTGCGTGTTCTAAGAGCATTTATCTATTATACATTTAACGATTCAAGAAAAAAAAACAACGAGACTCCAATTGTGCATCAACAATAAAATATATATTGAAACAATAATATACAAACAATCATGCAATGGTGTGTAGTAATTAAGGGAGAAACAGTTGCTTCCATTTAACTATATTCTGATTGAATGTTCAAAAGAATTTCTCTTGAATAAGAATGTTCAGGATTCTATGTTGAATAGAGTCTGGTGTTAGAATAGAATACAGTTAATTAAGAAGTGTGTTGTTTTGAGAAAGTAATAGAGTTCTGGTTAATGAACTTAGTCACAGAGGAAGAATATGTGTAATGTGATACAAAAATCTGTGTCTCTGTGTGCGTTGTGAGTAAAGTGATGGATTTGTGTAGACAGGCGTAAATAGCTGGATTCTACTGAGGGTTGTGGAAAATATTGCTTTTTTTAAGACTGCCGGTAGGCTCCCAACGAAAAAGCGGGAAAGTAGAATTAGCACAAAAATGTTTGATTGTTTAAAATTTGACCAATCACTGATTTTGTAACAAAGAAACATGTGAGCAAGTTCATGGCAGAAAGAATTCAAAGTAGTGACTGCGATTGCTAAATTGTCTTATGGAAAGGCAGTATCGATTTACTAGACAATCGCAGACGAATAAATTGTGGGCGTGGAAAGCGTAGCTTTTGCAAAGAAAGATGTCAAATGTGTTCGTTCATTTATTAGTGTGTGTACTTGCGTAAATTAGAAGTAACGATAAGTGTTGTCAAGAGCTGCTTGCCTTTAACTGATAGGCTAAATTGGTGAAGTGTACAATTACTTTTTTAGTAGTGAAAAAGTTCACTTTTTAAGTCAATTGTAGATGTTGAATAACACGCGGTCAATGGTTGATGAATGCTTTGCTGAGTTTGTTGGGATTTCAATGTGGTGTGTGAGTCAGTGAATTGACACGCGAAGAGTTTCGTAGCATCTCATGAAACTCGATAACTGACTGTCTGAATTGATTCATGCGGTTATTTTTATAGACTTTTGTGTAGCAAAATCGGCTCCAGAGCTCTCGGCGGGAAATAGGGTTCGTCTGGAACTTTGCTACAATTTGGTGTTTATTAACCAATAGGAGGTTGAATTTGCAGAAACGAGATGATGATTGGTTACAGGCTTTTTAGAGAAGAATACATCTTTCTGAAAGGGGTTAAAGCCTAATGTGGAAGATTCCACACTACTACTTTTATTATTATTATTATTATAATTATTATTATTTCCTTTGATTTTTTGTGTGCACGCATTTCTTTCCGGGTCCTGCTCAGAGACCTAAGGTTAGAAATGGCGTCATGGCATTTTCCACTGTCCAATTATAATTTTTGTAGATTTTTTTAATATTTTTATACTTATATGCAATTTTAAAACATAACTTTAAAACAGACATACTGTCGAAATATTGCTGAACATTGTTAAACACTGTGTAATGATAAAAGTACGCAGTTGTAGGCTTTAAGAAAGCTTCATTCAACTTAGAATACAAGGTTCGCGTATAGTGTCCTTTTATAGTCCCAGTAAATAGAAATAGACCTTTAAAACTCTTGATTATTCATAACACACTGTGTCTTCTTTTTCTTTTCATAAATCGCGCTCTCCTCTCAGTATTGAAAAATATTGGAAGAGTTACGCCAATTATTTTATTTATTATTATTGTTGTCGTCGTCGTCTTCCTTCCTTTTCCTACTCCTCCTCTCCCTCCGCCTCAACTCTTTTTCGTCTGCGCATATCCAAATCTAATGATACGAACATCAATACAGAGAATTTTTTTCCTTTTTTTATTTTCATTTTTTTTTTTTGTTCGGCCTTCGGACAGGGGTCAAAGGTATTATTTTTATTTCACCTCACCTCTCTACTGTAGTTCTGTCTTCGAGCATTTCACGGAAAATCTTTTGATATAATTCCAACGTCTCTCACTGCAATAAAAGAGAGTAAAGATCGGCGGAATATGGACCTCTGTGTGTGTCAGTGGTTGCGGTAACCTGGCCATATTTCTCCTTGGCCTACATGTACGTGTATGACAACCCACTATTAAACCGAACTTGTTTCACATCCCGTCACTGTGGAAAGGTGGGTAAAATTCCATCAACGTTCAGAATAGGAACAAAGTGTAGTAGCTGTTCACCTGTTTTATGAGGGAAGCTTGCGGCAGTACCTTTCTTATTGCACATAATAAGGAGCATTGACTGACAGCGATGCCAGCCTGACGATTGTCACGGCGACTGGACAATTTTTGTCCTTGGCCTCTATGTACGCCACCCCAAACCGACCTTGTACCATATCTGTCTACGGTGGGATCGTGGGTAATGTTCTTCCTATACCTTGCCTTCGGGCTTGGATCAAAGTGTGTTTTTGCATTTGTCGTGTTTCTGCCTTCGGCGAGTTTACGATTTTGTAATGAGTAAGGCATCATCCTGAACGTTCCAGCCCTGTTTGTGGCGCCTCCCTCGTTACAATGAGAAGAGATGGCTGGTGCCAGAATGACATGTTTCCACGGAGACTAATCAGTTTTTGTCTTTGACATACCTCAACACCCTGTCACAGTGGCGAGGCACGTAAAGGACACCAACTCCACTTGTAAATTGAAGTAACAAATAATTAGAATTACACGGGGTTGTTTTGCTCTACTCCACTTGTATAAAATGAACTCAACTGGATGGCGTAACAAAAAAGTACAACTCTTGATGTGAGAGTGTAGCTGTAGCAGCCATGGTGATTTTCTAAGCGTCACTTAGATTTGCCACGTAGTAAGGATCGAATTCAGTCGTAATTGATCTATTTTTTTTTTATGTTAGCGTAAGAAAGGGAAAACATTAGCAGTACAAAGCTAAACCAGACCGGATCCGGAAACACAATCCTAAACAGGAAACAAGGGATAAATTTCTACACCTGTTCAAATGACCCGGAAGGAGTGTGAACAATAGGCGAACCTAAGCGAGACAAGCTTATTAAATATTATACCATATCGAAGTTTTTGAATGGTTTTTTGAGCATTAGCTTAGATCTGACACAGGGCCAAAGGTAAGGAGAACCCAGTGAGGATCGAACTTACTTATTCAGTTGTAATTGATCTTCCCTTACACTACGCCGAAGTGCTTGGTAATTTCCTAAGCCTAGCTTAGATGTGGCGCATTACACCACGTCGAAGTGCCCCAAACTGTAGCAGCCATGGGACGCAGATGACACGAAACTGGGCCCAGGAACGAACACACGTCTGACTTCCATATAACCATCTCTTCTACTCCAACAGCTTCTTATCTTGCACCTCCCGTCAGTGGAACTCTCTTCCTATCACTTGCTTCCCTGACAGCTATAATCTTCAAATATTCAAATGTAATGTCGATCGACATCTTCTGATGCCCCCGCTTTGCTTGGGGCGATTTGCTTAAATAAATGACCTTTGGTCCTCCCACTCGTCAGATGTAAACCTTACTGAGCAAGTTCGGCACATGTAACCGACCTCACTAAATTGCGGTCACAGGTTAAGCAATATCGTGGCTGGTCAGTACCTAGATGGGTGACCGCTTGAGAATACCAGATGCTGTAAGCTTGGATGTGCGGTTGATGTAATGGATAATAGATGAGAATGCCAGTCAAGTACGTTATGCTCACTAACGTGCAAATATCTTTGAGAAAGATATAAATCCATTTCTTCTCCTCCAGCTATGGGTTAATAAGTATGACTTGTGTCACTGAAGCCATTATTATCTAAAAAAACGTTTAACTTTCTTTACATTTGACTTACGACCACCTCACGTAAAAACACCGGTTTTGTACGGTCACTGAAGTTAAGCAACGTCGAGCCTGGTCAGTGCCTTGATAGGTGACCGTTTGCGAATACTAGGTGCTGTAAACTTGGATGTGTGGGTGGTATAATGGCTCGAGATTGGAAATCGTAGTGCCGTGTTCTAATTCTTGTTGAGTTCGTTATATACACTATTGCGCAAATACACTAGGGAAAGGTATGAATGCACCTTTTCCCCCAGCTATGATTTAATTAGTGAGACTTGCATCACTTAACTATTACTCATGTTTTCCTGTCAACTACGTTCCTCAAAAATGTAAATATAGTGCCAATCTTCATTTTCTGTCACCTTGGATACTGTTCTTTTATTGTCGTTTTTAATCAATAATGTTTTCTCTGTTTCTTTCAATCTCAGTACCCCCCCCCTTGCGTCTTAGTGGCTTTACCACCTTTGGTCTGAATTTATATTTAACTATCAATCAATAAATACGAGAACTGGTTTTATATGTTAGAAAATGAGTTGAAATCCGATCTTTAGTTTTACAGTTAAAAGCTTGATTATCTGGTTTAAGTGCTATTTGTTTTATATAAATATATTGTTAACGATTCCTTTATTTTTTTTTTATTAATCCAATTTTAGTTTCCTTGTCTTTCAGATGGAGACAACGCCGACGATGAATTCCTCCAGACAGCTTATTTGGACGTAAGTACATCTGTACTGACCGATTACCAAATTGTTGTAACTTTCGCTCAACCGATTGATATTTGCTTCTCATGATTTGCGTCATTTTGACCTGTGCTTCAAGTTTATGCTGATTGGGAACTTGGCTTAACATGATTCGAAAAATACAATAAATAAAACTGATATAAACACAGGAAAATACTTGAGAAAATAACATTTCAGAACGTGATGAAATCCAATTTCAGAAATCGTTACAAATAACTTTACTAATAATATTTAATAATCTAATATATAAAACTCAAATTTTCTGTGCCCGGTTAAAATCTTAAAACTTCATGAGATATAAATATATAGTTGTCTGGCCGTTTGTGTTTGAATATTACGTAAAAACTATGGCATAAAATAGATGTGGTTTTATGATTGCCATATTTAGGTATATATATATATATATATATATATATATATATATATATATATATATATATATATATATATACACTGCGTGCCAAATTATTATCGAGATAACTTTTTTCTAATATTTCAAAACTGTCCAATCAATTCACACAAAATTTTCACACAATGTTGGCAACACTGACCTGCGCAATCAGTACTGATCTGTGCAATTTAAACAAACTGGCGCCATATTTGTTATCAGCACGGTGATTTGGGTGTGCCAAATTATTAGAAAAGTGTAAGAATTTAGTGAAAAGATGGACCGTAAAAAGCAGTTTAAGTGATGCTGAAAAGAAAACTATCACCTCAGAACTCTCAAAAGGTAAATCTACCTAGAAATTTCTAAAATGATCGGGAGGTGTCATCAAACAGTGAAAAAGTTCACCGCCGACCCTATACAAGTACGCAAAAGGGCAGATAAAGGCAAGCCGAGGGTTATTTCACGTCGTCTCATGTCATGACTTAAACGAGAGGCCACAAAGAACCCTGGACTTACCAGTCAAGAGCTTTTCAGTCGCATTGGTGACCCTACTGTGTCTAAAAGTATTCGGTGCCGGTATCTGAGGGAAATAGCAACAACAGTCAAACCTGTATCGAAACCTCCGTTGACGAGAAATCACATTCAAAATCGATTGAAACGGACCGAGGACAATATGAAGATTGACTTCTCTAAAGTTTTGTTCACAGACGAAACTCGAGCAACATTTGATGGGCCAGATAGATGGTGCAAAGGCTAGGTAATGAACGGACAGAATCGCCATCAGCGTTTGAGACGCCAACAAGGCGGTAGAGGCATAAAGATCTGGGGTGGTATTATAGGAAAAATATTAGTGGGCCCATGGAGAGTACCAGATGGCGTCAAAATGACTGCTGAGGTTTTATTACCCTTGGGCGGCTTTAAAGTGGCGAAGCTTAAAAATTTTTTTTTCAAACATGACTCAAGATTTTCGTAGAAAGTATCTAGATACAATAATATTAATAAATGATATTAATATCGTCATCTTTATTGTTATTATCACAACGTTTCAACGTTGTATCCTTTGGTCTTCTTCAGGTGTCTGTCAATAAGTGTAACCTTAAGGAAATTTCGAATTGAACCCTTTATTTAAATTTTTTGGGCAAATTGTTCACGTTATTTTTACTGAATCTAAGTATGCATTACCAGGCCCAGGGCTGATACATTGATTTTTTTTTATATACGTCTTGTCGACATTTTGTAGGTTATTTAAGCCAGAAAATATTTTTAGATTGTAATAATTTTTAAAAGGATTTTACTGATACAAGTCCTATTAATTAACCTATAGCTGAGGTGGGGAGTGTGGATTTATACATTTACTAGGGGTATATGCGCTTAAGTTAATATACCGAACACGATTGGAAATGGAGTTAGGCTCAACGATTTCCAAGTCCAAACCGTTATCCGTTACACTACCCGCACATCCATCTATCCTTACGGAATTTGCTATTCCCAAGTGTTTGTCCATCTAGGTACTGACCAGGCCCGACGTTGCTTAACTTCGGTGGTCGTACGGGAACCGGTCTTTCAAAGTCATATGAACGTAAGCTATACGAACGGCACAACCAAACTTACAAGCACCTGGTATTCCCAAGTGGACACCTATCTAAGTACTGACCAGGCGCGACGTTGCTTAACTTCGGTGGTCGTACGGAAACTGTTGTTTCAACGTGATATAGCCGTAATCTTTACCCAGCACCGGGATTGAACTTATAATTACTATGCCACCAAATCTACACCAAACGTCTATTAAATAGTGTTTAGTTCGAAATTTCCAGATTACGCAAATTGATACATTAAGAAGGCCAATTGGCACAATGGTCGAAACATTGTTGTAGCAACAGCAAAGATGAGGACCATAGTCCGAGTAAAAACAATGATAATTCCTCATCTCAGAAATTCAGAGATGATGCAACTATTATAAATACTGCTCCTATTACTACTACCAATACTACTAATAATAATCGATGTTTCTCTTTATTCTACAGGGTTTCACAATGATGAATGAAATTATTTTAACCACGCAACCCACTGAAAAACTTACGGAGGAATTTTGGAACATTGTCTACGAAAAGAGGTGCACCGCCATTATCATGTTTGAAGACTTATTTAACGTTAGTATCAGTGACAAGATAAATATTGATGAGCTATTATTTTAATAAGGACCTTTTTAAAATGACGGCTGCGTCATTTTAAACTACATATATATATATATATATATATACGAGGGGAAGTAGCACTTTCGGCATATCGTATCTTTATGTTTGTTACACTGGCTTCTGATCCTGCGTGCTTATAGTTGCTCAAACTTCGACCACGTAACCACAACAGTAGCAATTATAAGCACGCACGAACAGAAGACAATGTGACAAACCGAAAAATAGATTATGGAGAAATTGCGGATAATTTTTAACTTAATTTCGTGTGTATATATATATATATATATAATAACACTTACTATTTATTAAAAACTAACATTTCGAATGATTATGAATTGTATCAAGATCAATAGACACGACAAAATCTGTTTAGTGTATATATATATATATATATATATATATATATATATATATACTTTATTTGCGACTGATATATATATATATATACACACTTTATTTTGTGACTGAATTTGTGTATTTCTATCTAGCTAGCTAGCTATCTAAGTCTCTTCATATCGAAATCAGTTTCTTCATGTTTTTTTTGTCTGTTGTTTTAATAATTTTTTTAAAATTTGGTTTTTCATATCTATCTATCTATTCAGTCCCAATCTGTTTCTATCTATCTATCTATCTATCTATCCAGTCCCAATCCGTTTCTTTCTATCTATCTATCTATCTATTTTAGCCTCTTCGTATCTATCTAAATCAGTCGCTTGTTTTTCTGTTTCAGTGTTTTTTGTTTTTGTTTTTTGTTAATAATGAAATATATTATAATTCCGCCACAAGAAGACAGACAATCTCTTAACACATTATGGCACTACAGAACCGTATTTTGGCGTTTCAATACAAATAAAATTCTTCACAGGGTGAATATTTTTAATGATCTTTAATGATTCACTAGACCACACACAAAGCCGTTGGGTTTCTTTTAAAAGTAGTCCAATATACAAAATGATGAGTTAACAATATTTTCAATTTTTATTTTATTTTGTATTTAAAGACGGGAAAAAAAGGTTTATTGTTCCACTCGGCTTCATATTTTACACATTATGTGAAAATTTGGAAAATAGCTTAAAACAAGTTTAGTCTTTTTCAAAAAATAAATATATTTTTTATAAATTATTAGTTAATAATAAATAAAAAGATTTTTCGGACCTAAACATCAAAAACGCCTTATAAGAAATAAATCATGATTTAAAGTATGCAAATAAATTAATTTACGATATCAATAGATATATGTTTTACTTCTTTACTTTAAAAGAAAAATGTCTTCCATACGATGTACTTTGAATACAAATTAATAATTAATATTAAAGACAGAAAAAGAAGGTTTATTGTTCAACAGGGCTTTATTACTAATACATTGCATGAGAATTTGGAGTAATAGTGTAGCGGGCGGTCCAGTGGCCCCGTATCACGGAAAGGGGTGAACGAGGTCACAAGAGGCCCGCTAACATTTTTGAAGACGTTAAATCTGACCGTGAAACAATATGGACGACAGAACGAGGATATATATGATATATAGAGGTTTATTCTAAAAGGAAAAGGAAATGAAGATGGTCGGAAACGGTGGAGGTGCTGGATGCTGCAGGAGTGAGCCGGATGCTGCAGGAGTGCTGGATACTGCAGAAGTTTTAGTGCAGGCATTGATGGTCGAGGTTGGCAGTTGCTAGGATCATCGTTGTTGGGGGTTGAAGCTGATGTGGGTTGTTACCAGGATGATCGCTTGGTGGTTGTTGATGTTGAGTGATGCCAGGATGATCTTTGTTGGTTGTTGAAGCTGAGTCGTTGCCGGGGTGCCAACTTGACGTGTAGTTCGTGTTGCCAACGTTGTTTGTCATTGCCTGGATGCCAACTTGACGTGTTGGGAAGGAAGAGAGAGAAAGAAAGTTCCCAACTATCGTCAAGTTGGCAGACAAAAAAAATGGAGCGTAACTTAATACACAGCCCGTAGATCGGCGCCCTTGGCCAATGAAGGCCAAGGGGCCTGCTTAGACGACCGTTGCGGCCGCCGACAGCCTCCAGGAATCTAGGGAGAAATCACTGTCTTGTGTCGAGGGGGACCAGCAAGAGAAATTGGCTAAGCTAACCGAAAAGTGTCTATAATAAAATGCTACGAGGTTAGCTAAAGATAACTAATGTCTAAAAATGACTAGATGTATATTACAACTAGGTTTGTAATATAGCCTAACTAAAAAGGGGATTTGCTAGTCCCTCTGACGTGTTAAGAGTGTGTAAGGAGCATGAATGAGAGGTCAAGGTCGAAAAGACCTGTTCCTCTGCTGGTTCAAGGACAGAAGGAGGAGGTAACTCCGACAATAGCTTAAAACAGGTGTCGTCTTTTTCAAAATAAGTATATTTTTTATTTTATATCAGGTCATCCCATAAGTTCTGTCCGAATATTGAATAAAGAAAACAAGTGACCAAATGTTACATTTAATTACAGATTCAATCAACAATATATTTCCCTGATTATCTATGACTTACTTCCATCTATTAACAAGCTTACTAATTCCATTACTGTAAAATTGATTCGAAGAACTCACAAATGTCAGTTTTAACCTCTTCCTGTGTTACAAAAGCTGTTTCTTCCAAATGATTCTGTAAGCTACGAAACAAATGGTAGTCTGAAGGAGCAAGATCGGGAGAATAAGGTGGATGAGAAATTTTCTCCCAACCAAGTTCTTCGATCTTTTGTGACGTGATTCTTGCTGTGTGGGGTCGCGCATTGTCCTGATGAAACATCACCTCTTTTCGATTCACGAGAGCAGGTCTTTTTTTCCTCAAAGCTTGGTTCAAACGCTCTAATTGCTGACAGTATATTTGAGCATTAATTGTTGCATTAGGTGGTAAGAATTCAAAGTGGATTATTCCTTGGCGATCCACCAGATTGAAAGAAGAACCTTTTGCCCATGATGTTCCCTTCTCGGTTGTGGCTGGGGTCCTTCCCCTTTACCAAGCCACTGTCTACAATGCTTAACATTTCGATAAAAGATCCATTTTTCGTCGCCAGTCACAAGTCTATCCAAAAAAGGTGAAACAATTTGGCAAGAATGGAGAGAAGAGCAGATGTCAACTCGGGATTTGAGGTTGTTTTCAGACAATTCATAAGGCACCCATTTTCCAAGGAACTTTTCCAGGTTGTTGAAGATGACGATGAACAGTTGTATGGTTTGAACTGAGAACCACTGTCAATTCCTCAACTGATAAAGCAGGATTTTCTTCAAGAGCTGCTTCAAGAAGCTCTTTTTTTTTTTTTTTCGGAGAACGCATATTTTCTATGAAATTTCTAGAACATTCAAGCCGGTGCATGTAATTAATATTGCTTAATTAAAAACAGATCATATACTTAAATAGGTTGTATTTATAAAAAAAATAACATATAAACAGAAAATATATGCTGTGTTATGAATATTTAAATTTATTTAATAATGTATTATGAATGTTTATTATTTTTCACACGTATAATAGTTGGAATATAATATGCTAGTGTTTTTTTTATATGCGTGGATTGATATGAGAATGTGTCTTAAAAACAAATATTGAATTCCCTATTAAAAATGCCGTAAAAACAAAAACGGTCATAGCCCATCAGTCCTTTCTCTAATTTTAATAAAATTTGGCCATGCACTCAGCATGGGTTCAAGGTACAGTATGCTTCTTAATTAGTTGGCGTATTATGTATCGTTTAAGCTGCACCTCGGGAAAACATATGCATACATTTTTTTTTTTAAATCGGTATCACTCCAAGCAAGATAGTATAGCCACTAGTATGCAAGGAGTTACAGAAACAAACCAAACCAAGCACATAGTAAGAACATAGAGAATCTCTTTCTAATATCTGAAAGATATTTATCTCTATTTCTGTATCACGTTATCCGTCGTCTATGTAGCTACAATTCTGTATTTGCATGATTTTGACGTCACCAATATGTAAGATGAATCTTGTGTTGCCTCTTTTGCTGATAACGATGCATTCTGTCTTTGTTTCTTTTTTTTTTTTTTTTTACAGTGAAGAGTTATTTTTTTTCAACCGGTTAAAAATGCATTAAAAAGTAAGAATATAGAGAAATCCGTTGTGCGTATGTGAAGATCTGATTAAATCAATTAACATTATTTTAACTTTTTTTTTCTTATCAGGTTGTTTCAGCGTATTGGCCAGATGAGCAAAAATGTCCCAAACAGTATGGAAACATTATAGTGGAACTTATGTATTTGAATGAAACAGAAACCTCTTTTCAAAGACAATTTAAAGTTTCTTCCACAGAAAAAGTAACGATAGTTTTTCGTTTTCTTTTTTTTTTTTTTTCTTTTCTTTCTTTATTTCTTCGTTTTAATTTAATTTTATTTATTTCTTTATTGCATGGATTGATAATATATCTTTTGTCCTTTCCTCAATCCTCCCTATTCTCAATCTTCTCTTTCACTTTCACTTCCTGTAACCCCCCCCCCCCCATGTGTCTTAGTGGCATTCCCGCCTTGCCTTTGGCGACACGATTAAAAATAAAAATAAAAAAATAAGAGACATTCCATCTCGTTGAGACACAGCACTTAAACTCGGCTGTGGGCGTCTGCCACACCTCCAGAGGAGCACTCCTTCAACATGGCTGATTTGTGTAGATTAAAGCTTTGGTTTTGGTCACATCGCAAAAGATTAAGATTTTTGTTTACTGTTAAATGTTAGTAGAGGTAGCGTAACGGTTATCAGCGCAAAAAGCGAAATCGGCGTACAGACTTCAAATTCTAAATGGATGTTTCGTTCACTTCTCTATAAGGCCTTTGGAAATGTTATGAAGCCATCCTACTCTACCTAAAGGTTAAATAGTAAAGCAGATGAGACACAAGTATAACTGTGAATTCTGAAGAAAGAAAAATAGTGAAAAAATACACAAACGTGGTAGGTGGGGGGAATGTAAAAGAGAAAAATGAAGACCAAAAATAAAACTAAAACAGAATAAGCATAAGGATGAGAACCGGGCGATGGGCGAACCTATCGTTATAGGTTCGCCTATCGCCCGGTGAACAGACCTTCTCAGTCATTTAAACAAGAGTAGAGGTTTATCTCTTGTTTCCTGTTTAGGAGTGGGTTTGCGGTTATCATTCTCTTTCACTCCCGGTAGTCCCTTGCGTCTTTTAGTAGCATTATCGCCTGGCTTGGGGTGACATGATTAAAAAATAATAAAAAAAAATAGGGAGACGCTCCATTACGCTGGGCTGTAGGCGTCTGCTACACCTCGAAAGGAGCATCACGCTAGCATGGTTGATTTGTGTAGATTGAAGCTCTGGTATTGGTTTCATCGCAAAAGATTAAGATTTTTATTTACTGTTAAGTTTTAGTAAGTACAGGGAGTATATATATATATATACGGTGGAGTAATAGATAACGGCTTTGATTGGGGAATATATATATATACATATATATATATATATATATATATATTTTAATTAGTTACCGCTTCGCTTCCGAGGCCCGTTGGTATGATGCTTGCATCGTAACGGTCCGGGTTCTACTCTCGGTAATGGATGCGCACTGCTGATGAGTCCCAAATACTTTCCCACTAATAGCCTTGGGGAAAAGGATAAGACCATCTTTTATTTATAGTAGTTGATTGATTTGTTTTCTTTTTTACGGCTTAACAATCCTTTGTTGGTCATTTAAAGGGGAAACTTTCGGGGCTTGTGAGGTTGCTTACAATACCCACGTGGTCTCTCATCTAAGTACTGCCCGAGCTCGACACCGCTTAACTTCTTATCACTTCAATAAGGCCATATGAACTTGGAAATCAGACCAATGATGACACGAACAAATTGAAATATTTAACTGAATCATATTAAAATTAACTTTCATTTCAATGGAACGTTGAAATCAACTTCAATGTTTTATAACCTGAACCATCAGTGACCAAATCGGTCACAGGTAGTCTATTAAAGTATAACAATGATCAGTATGACAAAATGGTATGACAAAATGGTATGGCAAAAATCGTTATTTAGAATGGTCTTTTCAAGGAGAAAATAATCAATAATATTCAAAATAGTCATAATTTAACCTTTTTTTTAATCATTCCACCTCCAGCAACATGATAAAGCCACTAAGACCCAAGGGGTTTCTATGTGTGAGAATAAGTTACTGATTTATTGTTTATCGATTCGTTTTCTACGTCTTATGAACCCTTTGCATGTGATTTAAAACCAGAAATATTTATTTAGATTGTCAGAATTTTCTTCTTGGAAATAGTAAGCGTTTAGTGATACTAGTTAACCCATAGCTGGAGAAGGAGGAGAAGAGGTGAATTTATACCAATCCCAAGCGTATTTACGCGTAAGTAAATATAACGACCACAACAGGAATTGGAACTCGGCTCTCCGATTAACAATTCCTACCTCTTATCCGTACATCCAAACTTACAGCAGCTGACATTCCAAATCTAGGTACTGACCAGGCTCGACGTTGCTTAACTTCGGTGATCATACAGGAACTGGTGTTTCAATGTAATGTGGCCGTAAACCAAAAATGTTATTGAGAAGAAAGGACAATAAAAGAACAGCTTTCGAGGAGGCTAAAATAAAGATGAACGTTGCCTTTGTATTTTTTTAAGATCGTAGTTAACAGGAAAGCAAGAATCCAGAAGAGAGTTCCAGAAATGATGAGTGTAGGAGAAGAAACTATTAACATAGAAATTATGGTTACACTTAGTAATTGCAATCTAGCACTTCGCTTAGATTTGTAAAGTTGAGATATCAACGAGAAAAACTCATCAGAAAAAATACAGTGAAAATATTTAAAGAAAAGACAAAGGGAAACTACGTTGAAGCGGTGGCAAAGTGACTGAATCCGAGATGCCAGGTCAAGATCGGTAATATTACAGTTTCTTATATGTTCTTTCAACACTCTGCGTCCAATCTGGAGGTCAACAACCCTCTCACTTTACAACGAGATCCGGATCTTCGACACCAACGTCAAGTCGGTCCTATTTTACGGCTTAGAAACCTGACAGGTAACCAAGACCAACACCCACAAACTTCAGACATTCAGCAAATGATCTCTCAGGAACATCCTCAATATCAGGTGGCCGGAAGTCGTCTCCAACGACTAACTGCCGGACAGGAACAGACAAGACCCACTCCAGATTGACATCTAGACAACAGTAATGCTGATGGATTGGCCACCAACTCTGCAAGTCTGCTTCTAGTGGAATCTACACGGGAAGCAAAAAATGGGTCGACCAAAACAGACTTGGCGCAGAAGTGTCGACGCAGAGGTAAAGGCAGCCGGCACGACATGGGCCGAGCTGTAGAGGATCTCCCGGAACCGTGTCCGTCGAGGAGGTGTTGTTGCGGCCCTATGGTCCCTACCAAGGAATCAAGAGGTATAAGAAGAGGAAATATGAAACATTTTTTTTTGTGATAGAGTTCAAAACCCTTATAAATTTGCTTCCATTTAAACTTCACCATTTGTATTCATTTCCTCATTTTGTTTGAATTTCTTTATTAAAACATTGGTTTATTAACATCTAATAATAATTTATTAAATGTTGCAAAAATTTATTATACATCACATCAGAATTTCACTGTTTTTAATGGGTTTTTTTTTCTTTCTTCAGGCCACCATCGGAAGCGTTATGGTAAATCACTTTCAATCAAAAATCTGGCTTAGCAATCCACCTCCTTCACAGACAGAAATAATTGAATTAATTCAAACTGTGAGTGGTTATATCAAACCACAAAAACAAATTATTGTACATTGCCAGTAAGAAACATTTCTTTTTTATCATTATCAACTTTTTTTTACAATAGCAACCTTTTTAAGTTTTGCATTCACCTTTAGAGTGTATATGTTTAATAGCAATTCTTCACTTAAGAAGCGTAAAATAAACTGCTATTCCTTTAACGGCGTGAAATCAATAATACTAGGTATATACATTTATTCGATATTTGTATCTATTTGGTTGTTCAATATATATATATATATATATATATATATATATATGTACATAGAAATATACACACATAAAAACATATATTTTAGATTGAATGTCAGAGTAAAGAGTTCGCTATCAAATGTACCACTTATTATTATTTTAAATGTCAATCATAGAAACCAAACAATAAATAAGGAAAGAATAAAAGTATAAAATTATCATTAAATATGAGAACAATTTTTACTATTGTTGTCAAAAATATTTGAACACAGTAAAAAATTGACTATTCTGAACCAATAGTAAAAAAGTAAACAAAACAATGTTACGACTCGGAACGCTTTTCTTACAAATTTGAAAATACGTCCTCGCCCTTAAAAATGTCACGTTAATAAATAAGAAAATGATAAAATAATAAAATTATCGGTGAAGAATTTCCATGTCCTTAATCCAGAAGAGGAAGGGATCCTAGAAATTTATCGTAAAAAAAAAAAAAAAAAAATAAAGGAATAATGATTGTTTTTCAAACCTATGTTAATTCCATTAGCCAATCAAAAGAAAGAAATTTCTCTTTCATAATTCTCTATAAATAAATAAATAAACTAATAACATTTTCTTCCTGGTCAATCATATGCTCGACCCTTTTCTCCAATGTTTCTTTCATAAGTTAATATTAAATTCTTTAAATGAAAAAAGTCTTACAGATACACATAATAAAAAATGAATAATTAATAAAAAAAAAGTTATTATTCTATGTTTAGATTTAATAAGTTCGGTAAAAAAATACTTTTCAATTTCATGAAATTTATCTAAAAACGTTTTTAATCATAAAGTATTATTAAAATTCTAAAAAGAAAGCAGTAAAAAAAAAAGATTTTCCAGCAGAATCATATACACCCATGGGAAAAACAATCATTATTCCTTTATTTTTTTTATTTTTTACGATAAATTTCTAGGATCACTTCCTCTTCTGGATTAAGGACATGGAAATTTCCCATAATTCAGGCGTATCACGGAGGATAAAAAAGAAACGATTGTAGCTGTGATATCCGGTTTATTATATATTTCTCATCTAAAGAAAAGCCAATGACGCCAAATCAATATTAAATTCTGGGTATTCGTCTTAATTCACAGACAATCATTGTGGAAAGGTACCGATGTTTGTACCTGCTTTATGATATCTATTCTTTGAGCAGTAATTTCTCACTGACTTTACAACCGCCATTAATAGTTCTTCGGTAATTTACCGGAACAAGTCACAAATATCGAAATGTATGAATATTTCCCGTCCTCGGTATGATGGTAAACTACATCCGCGTCCTGGATAAGACGATAAACTACGTCCAACAGCAAGGCCTCTGATCAGACGGTTGTGAGGAGCGTGGAAGCACCTCTGAATCGCTGGTGTTCCCAAGTCGATTCTGACCCGGGGTGGTAGCACCTGTTAGGATCCCAGCTATGGGTAAATAGTTAACCTTTAAACTGGCGTCAAAACATTATGAAAGTGTAAAAATAGGAATTAATACCAGAAATATTTGTAAAAAATTATTACCAGCAATAAATGTTTGAAGAAAAATTATTATCAGCAATACGTTATTACCACAATACTTTTTCGAAAAAAAAATATTACCAGCAATAAAAATCTTGTCGACATGAAATAACCCATTGAGGTTCATATGCGGTAAAAAAAACCCAAGCCATTCATATTTCTTATTCTTATGTATATTAATATTATCTTATTCTTATATATATATATATATATATATATATATATATATATATATATATATATATATATATATATATATATATATATATATAAAATATAACATATAACATATACTTTATAACATCACTACAAAATTCCAATTTTCTTACAACACTGTTGTTGTCTTATCAAGTTATGGTGTTTATGATACCTGTAGTGTTTAAACAAAATTGCAATTTTTGCAGTGATGTTATTACATGCATAATAGTATTGAGCACTCTTTTTAAGAATAGTGGTTTTGTTTATCGTAATTTCATTCCATCTGTAACAACCCAGTACTATATATATATATATATATATATATGTGTGTGTGTGTGTGTGTGTGTGTGTGTGTGTGTGTGTGTGTGTGTACGCGCCTGTGTGATTGTATGTGGAGGGGGAGAGATGGTGTTTTTTTTCATAGTTTGTTTCTGAATCCATTGTTAGACATAAATTGTGCGTCTTATGGAAATTTTTTAAGGGATTTTTAGGGGTTTTTTTCCCTCCTTGTGTAAATTTCTCAGTCAATTTTCCATTAAACGTAATAATTTTCCATTTTCCTTCAGGGATAATTTCAGTAAAAGTGGACTCTTTTCAGTCCTGTATGTCATGATTCAAGGGCTGAAGACTGACCCCTACATCAGCATTTTGAGACTTGTGCGACGTATGAAGAAGAAAAATGCCGATGTTGTCGTAGACTACGTAAGTACAAGAAGGAATTTTAAGATAATTTACAAATTGATAATATTTCCTTTCTCTAAATGCTCTTATTTTTGTACCAACAAAGTTTTCGCCAAGTTATTAGTCTGTTTCTTTTGATATATATTTAGGCATTCTTAATAAAATACAAAGAATCTGCAATGTTATTGCTCCTGACCTGGCATTTCGGCTTCAGTCACTAACCTACTGCCGTAACATAGCTTACCTGTACTTTTTTATACATGATTTCATGATGATTGTTCTCATGAACTTTTCTCTATCTTTTTTAAATGTTGTTATTGTATTCCCACCTCCCACGCACACACACGGTCACTTTCTCATCGCTGTAACATAACTTCCCTGTGACATTTCTATAAATATTTTCTTGGTAATTGTTCTGATGAGTTTTCCTCTTTGGTTCAAATTGTATATATGGGAACTGTTTAGAACTACATAGGAACTTAGATATTATGCTGGTTGTAGTAAGAATGGTAAATAAGAATGTTATTTTAGTGTAAGGAATACTGTGGTATGTTTGGGTCAGTAATTATGGTTAGCTAAGTTTAAAATAAGACAGATTGAAGACCAGCTTTTTCCTTATTCCCACTTTTGGCCTTGTGCCACATTTTTGTATTACAACAAAATAAATATTACTTTCCTCTATGGTATGTAGACTTTAGGAATTTAAACGCAGTAATGGATTGGCGGCAAGGTCTCTGCATTTTACAGTAGAAATGCCAAGATAACATCGTAAGTTTCTTTTCTCGCCTGTAAAACTCTCTTCCGGCTTCTTGCTTTCTAGTCGAGTTTGATCTTCAAAAATTGAAATGCAGTATCAATCGTTTTTAATTTCTGTTGTTTAAGGAAAATACTTTTTGGTTTCCTAAGAGAAAAAAGATTTGTATTTGTAATGTAACTTCCCTCTGCTCTTTCTATAAACATTTTCATGGTAATTGTTTAGCGTGTTGTTTTTTTTTTGTGGGGGGGTTTCTTCACTCTCGCTCTATTCTTGAGCCAGGCGGTTTCGGAATCCTAGTGATGGATTGTCCTTACGACGTAGAATCATGGATTGTCTTTAGAAGTGGACTGATGGATTGTCTATAAATGTGGTGTCATTGGCTGTTTTTAAATGTGGAGTCATAGTCATTAGATGTGGAGTCATGGATTATCTTTAGATGTGGAGTCATGGATTATCTTTAGATGTGGAGTCATGGATTATCTTTAGATGTGGAGTCATGAACTGTCTTTCAATATGAAATCATGAACTGTCTTTAAATGTGGTGTTATGGGTTGCCATTAGATATGAAGTCATGCATTTTCTTTAGATGTGGAATCTTGCATTATTTTAAGATGTGGAATCCTGAATAGTCATTAGATGTGGAATCAATTGTCTTTAGATATGATATCATGAATTATCTTTAAATATGGTGTTATGGATTATCTTTAGATGTGGAGTGGTGGATTGTCGTTATATGTAGATTAATGGATTGTCTATAAATGTGGTGTGATGAATTGTCTTTAACGGTGGAGTCATGAATTGTCATTCGATGTGAAATCATGAATTGCTTTTAGATGTGGTTTATGGAATAATTGGATTGTCTTTAGATGTGGAGTTATGAAATGTCTTTAGTTGCGGAATCATGGATCGTCTTTAGATGTGCAATCATGGATTGTCTGTACATGTCGTGTCATGGATTGTCTTTAAATATGGGGTCATGAATTGTCATTCGATGTGAAATCATGAATTGCCTTCAGATGTGGTCTTGTGGCTTATAGAATAATTGGATTGTTGTTAGATGTGGAATCGTGAAATATATTTAGTTGTGGAGTCATGGATTGTCTTTAAATGTAGAATGATGCATTGTCATTAGATGTAATGTCATAGAATATCTTTGAATGTGGAGATATGGAGTGTATTTAGAAGTGGAGTCATGGATTGCCTTTAACTGTTGAGTCATAAATTGTCATTCGATATTGTATTATGGATTGTCTTTACATGTGGATTATCTATTGTCTTTAGATGTAGAAACAAGGATTGTCTTTAGATGTGGTGTGATCGGTTGTTTTTAAGTGTGGAGTCAGAGTTATTAGATGTGGAGTATGAATTGTCGTTAGATGTGGAGTCCTAGATTGTCTTTAGACGGTGAGTCATTTTTTTTTTATAAGCGTTTCATCCCAAGCAAGGCGTGAAGCCACTAGCACGCAAGGTGTTACAGAGAATTGGAGTGAGACCAAATAGGAGTGATAGAGGAAAGGATGAAGAGAAGGATGGGGGATAGATCAATGCTTCTGGAGACGCCGATTGACATTACATTTGAATAGTTGGAGATTATAGGTGTCAGGGAAACAGGAAAAGGGGAGGGAGTTCCACACTCTCTTCCGATGTGAAGACATGGATTATATTTAGATGTGGAAATTCTAGATTTTAGATGTGGAATCATGTCTTTAGATGTGATGTTATGAATTGTCTTTAAATGTGGAATGGTCGATTTTGTTTAGATGTGCATTTATGGATTGTCTTTAGATTTAGAGCCAACAATTGTCTTTAGATGTGGAGTTATGAATTGTCTTTAGATTTGGAGGCACGTATTATCTTTACATGCGGTGTCATGGATTGTCTTTAGATGTAAAATCATAGGTTGTCTTCAGGCGTAGAGTCAGAGATTATATTTACACATGGAATCATAAATAGAATTCAACCGTGGAATCATATTCTATAAATGTATTCATCAAATAAACTTAATGATCGTTAAAGAATGAAAATATCCCTTTTCATAAACTTTGCCTTGTTTAGATATCGTCCTGTTTACAAAATCTATTAACTGCAATTTTGATTTCCGACTTGTATGCAGGGCTGGATTAAACATTATGCAAAATAAGCACGTGCTTAGGGCATCAAAGGAAGGGAGCACCACAAAAATTGTAATAATATGATGTTCTTGTATACATCTAGAGAAATAAGTCGAACACGATTAACATTTTTGAATCAACAGGGCGCCATTATGAAGGGTGGACATTGACCTACAGCAAATCTTTATTGACATTCTGAGTGGTTAATAAGTGAATGAGCCAAGGGAGATAATGAGGTTTTTATTTACTCAATACATCATATCAGCTCTCTTGAATAAGTTAGTATTACTAATTAACTTAATGGGCTTTAATTTTGTGAAAAGAGGTAGACTACCTTCATGTTCGTTTGGCCATATTTTTATGCGATTCTGTACGCTGGTTTGTTCATGACACGACCACTTCTGGTCACAGTTCTGTTAGAATCTAGTCGTGGCTCATTTGACAGTTGCTGCATAGCTGTGATTGTTTCTTTCTTGGTTGGTGTTGTTCTGGGTTGGAACTGATGCTCAGCCTCTCTCGATGGTCGTATCTTGCCTTCAGTTCATTCTGTATTTATTTCCAGCAAGCGTTTCCACGATGCACGTTCTCGATTGATAGCCTTTATTTATTTGCACTACTTATCGAGACTCCATGCTAACATACTTAACTCGCAGGTGTATGTGTTATAGAGTAGTTTCACAGTGGAGGCTTGTATTTCACTAAGTCGGTCCTAAAAAGGTTCGACGTACAAAACGTTAGGGACTTGATATAATAGTTAATGACGCAGCAATCTAGTTGTGGTGGTTGATACTTTAATGTCCGACATCGACTGACTTACCAACTCACTGAGCTCACTGGCGACTGCTACTACTACTACTTGTTATATGTGAGAGAGTCTATTAACAATAGAATAGGTATGTTCCGGTATAACAGTATGGGGGCCCCAAAATCTTTTAACTGCTTAGGGCCCCTATGGGTTTTAATCCGGCCCTGCTTATATGGCGTGTTATGCAAACGATTTATTATAATTGCTCGTATTATAAATTTTGTCAATATTTAAAACTAATATTTTAATAGGATTCTTCTTTTTATTTATTTTTTTTCAGAGGTCATATGAATATTGCTGGATGGTTGCAAATGTGTTCCTCGGAGAACTTTCAATTTATTCAAACATCTAGACGTGTCTTCACAATGAGCTGACAAAATAACAACTGTTTTGTAATTTTACATTTGCCCCAAACAACTGAATTGAATCGGGTTTATACAGCTTATTCTGTATGGACAAAATTCTTATGAAAACCGAAATTCTTGGTTCTTTTCAGGAGACACAACAGAACAGAAAAAGAACCATCTATTGAAAACTTTGAGAGAAGATTACCAGTCATAAAATACTGTGCATTTTTCTAAATCCTGTGATTACTAAGTTATTCTCTTTATCCTAATTAGAACACAAGGTCGCAATCTTTTTCTTTCAATGGATCCTTTGCTTTGGCCTGTGTTTCGCACCATGTATTTTAGTTCCATCATGACTATCTTCCTGGGGGACGGTCATGATGAAACTAGTTTTAACCTAGCTTTTCTTTCACTTTGCATTTGGGATCCATCACGGAACCATTATACATATTTCTTGATTGGATAATCGGCAAACATGGACCTTCATTCCAGCAATAAGACAGAATGTTAAAAAGACAGTTTTTCCCTTGATACTGCTATTATTTTAACTACCTTCACTCTTCGGCAATATTTATTGTTTTAAAAAGAATTGTAATAAAACCTAATTATATGAAACTGAATTTATACATTTTCTTTGTTGTTGAGAACTGACAACAAAACTAATAAAAACTATTTATTAGATTATTTATTTACACTATTTATTTATTTATTAAATTTATATTATTTATTGTACTACTTATTGGAATAGTTGACAAAACATCAGCTGATTATCAATTGATCCGAACTTTATAAAAAGGTAATTTAATAATTTCCTTGTAGTTGCTTCACATATTTTAAATTTAGTAAATGCTTATAAATTTCTGAATAAAACTTGTTTTCACATTTATTTCTTTATAAATTAGTAAATGATAAATATTGCATCGCATTAGTTTTAATTGTATTAGTTTTTAGAATGTTCTAAATATAAAATTATTCTTGTAAATAAACAATCTAATAAATAAATAGTGTTTAATATTTTTGTTGTAAATTCTCAAGAACAAAAAGAAATGTATAAATACACTTTCATCATATGTTTAGGTTTTATTCCCATTCCAATCAGCGCTTTTTAAAACAATAAACATTGCCAAAGAGTGAAGCTGGTTAAAAATGCGATGTCATGAGAAAAACCGTCGTTTTGACACTACATCATATTGCGGGCACGTTTGTCAATGTTTGCCGGATAATCAATCATGTGTATTTCTCCTTGCTTCATTCCGATGAATTGTACATTCTTTTCTCAAATAAATTCTTAAAATTCCCGCATCACTCCTGCCACCGATTACTGAATTATGATTAGTCGACGATTGTCTTCCTGGTCATGAGCGGTTAGTGGGTGTGTTTACTGTTTCATTTAGCCCATATCTTGGTTACTGATTGCGTGGATTGCTGAAACTGGAAATGTTGTTCTGGAGATCAAGTCGAAATCGCACCACGTTATATTATGATTTATTAAATGACGAAGTCCTTCAGCACCAGTTGAAATGTCTTTCAGTGAGATTCTGATCGTGTGATGATCACGCACTTGAAATTTTTTTATATAGGCGATAAAGCCACTAAGACGCAAGGGATTATTGAGAGTGAAAGAAACTGCGAAAATATTACTAAGAGAGAACAAGATTCAAGGAAATAGAAAATAACAACGATGCATTTAAAGTTTTTGCATTTTTTTAGTTCTTAGTATCTTGTTAAAAAATCATCAAAATTGTTGTACACTATTGTCCTCATCTTTTTTGTCATATTTATCACAACGTTTCGGCCGTTGTATGCTCCGGCCTTCTTCAAGTGGTTGGAATGTCGAACTGAACCTTTTATTTCTCTCACTGGGCTAGTTCCACATGCTATGTCTAATGGATGTCAGTTATCAGTTATCTCCTGTCAATTCCCCTCTCCAAGTTCTCCACCGCCTTAACTAGCTATTGAACTCACACTCTTTGGGTCCTGTCACTGGATCTAACTAACGCCTTTATCCACTATGCCATGTGTCCTTGAGAACATATGTGTATGAATTACATCTGTGATAAATATGGCAGCAAAGATGAGGACAATAGTTCAAATAATGTAAATAGTGTACGTAATACCTCATCTCAGAAATATAGACCGATAAGAAAATTGTTGTACTTTACATTAAATTTTCAACGACAGTTTTATTTACGGCATCTACACATAGGGCTGTAAATTCGCTGAAAAAAGTTAGTAAGTTGCTTACATTTGACCACCACAGAGAACCTTTTCTGCCTGCCATGAACATAGTCGATTCTAAACTCCAAAAGAGCGACACGCTACGCCTTCTTGGCCTCACGTTTTCCCCTGACATGAAGAGAAGCGACTATAACGAACCAGTTGCTTCATCTGATGCAAAGAAAGTTGTGTGTCGTGCCAGAAAAATTTTTCTCATCAGAAGCCATCCTGCACATTTACAAATCTACTATTCATTCGTGCATTGAATAATGTTATCATATCTGGTTGCTCCTGCTGTTCGTCTCTAGATTCTTGATAAAATCCAAAAAAGAATCTGTAATGTAATCGATCATGACCAGACATCTCGACTTCAGTCATCATTCGCACGGACGTGATGTGGTTTCCCACTGTTTTTCTACAAATATTTTCATGACAACTGCTCTGGCGAGCTTTTTCCTTAGTGACCCGATTACATGAATTTAAACATGCTGCTAGATTATCAATTAGGTTCCACCCTTTTTTCTGTCTAAATAGCTAAACACAATCGCCACTTCTACTCCAATAGTTTCTTTTCTCACACTTCCTACATGTGGGACTCCCTTCCGATTTCTTGCTTCCCTGATAACTACAATCTTCAAACATTTAAATGCAGCATCACTTTGCATCTTTTGTCTTCTTGAACACTTTTCCATTATTTGTCCTTTCCTCAATCCTCCTCATTCTCAATCTTCTCATTTTCTCTTCACTTTCACTTTTTTGCGTTCTAGTGGCATTATCGCCTTGCTTGGGGTGAAATGATTTAAAAACAACTAAGATTTCGGAATTTTGAGGCAGTCAGTATTGTATTCGTCCTGCATTATGCTTTCTTCTGGAACAAGAGAGAAGACAATAATTTGTGCCTCATAATTTCTCCACAATGATTGCGCATGTGTATTTGTTACAAATCTTTTATGATTAAGTGACTACGGCGGCAGTTTCATACAGCTTCTTTCCCGGAGCAGACTTCGATGAGCTCCGAATAAAAACTCGCCATCAATAAACCCAGCTGACTACACTTTTTTTTTTTTTTTTTTACAGGTTATCATATGAGTGGCAACATTATTTGTATGAAGCGAAAATATTCGCCACTTCAAAATACATTCAATGCTTGAAATTAATTATGATAGAACTCATTAATTATACTTTTGTTCAGCAAAGCTTCATTGAAATAAAATGTTGCCTGTATCAATTACACCAGTTGTTGCCTTGACGCATTATTTACTCTATATTGATGCCAAAGTCAATTATTAAACCTTATTATAATTAGTCTGTATTTTAACTATGTCAGTTATTAAATCTACATTATTGTAACTGTCCTTATTTAGCCTACCTTGTTTTCTTTTTACTCATCTCAGTTAGACTAAATTCTTCCCGACACCAATTACCTATCCTAGATGTAGCAATCATTCAGTCCATATTGTAAATTAATTAGACGGAATGTCAATTATTTAATATCATTATTGCCCATGTTATTTATTTAACTTAAATTGTTTCCTGTTTTATTATATTTGCTTACATTGTTTCCTGTTTCAATTATTTTGTCTACATCGCTTCCTGTGCCAATTATTTAGCTCCATTGTTGTCAAAACTACATGGTTCTTCGTGTTAATTATTTTATCGACATTGTTTTCTGTGTCACTTACTTTGTCCACATTGTTTAATGTGTTTTAATGTCGGTCATGTCAAATATTTATGATCCATTGTTTCCTGTCACAATTATTTTCTCTACGCTCTTTCTTGTATCAATTATTTAGCGTCATTTTAGGTCATATCAAAAACTTAGCCTACATTGTTTCCTGTGCCAATTATTTAGCCTAATTGTTAGCCACGTCAAACCTACATGGTTCCCCGTGTCAATTATATTGTAGACATTGTTAAATGTGTCAATTATTTATCCCCATTGATGGTCTTGTCAAATATTTATCCTACTTTATTTCCTGTCTGAATTGTTTTATCTACGCTCTTTATTGTATCAGTTATTTAGCCACATTGTAGCCCATGTCAAATAATCATTATAGATTGTTCTCCATTTCAATTATTTTGTAAATATTATTTCGCGTGTCAATTATTTAGCCTCATTTGTCATGTCAAATATTTAGCCTATTTTGTTTCCTGTCTCATTTATTTTGTCTCCATTGTTGTCGGTGTCAATCATTTAGCCCCATTGTTGATCATGTCAAATATTTAGCCTAAATTGTTTCCTGTCTCAATTATTTGTCTGCGCTCTTTCTTGTATCAATTATTAAACCCCATTGTTGTTTATGTCAAATATTTAGCCTGGATTGCCTCAGTTACTTTAATGCATAGTTTTCTTTGTCAAGTATTTAGCACCATTGATAGTCATGTCAAATATTTAGCCTACATAGTTGCCTGTCTCAATTATTTTGTCTTCACTCTTTCTAGTATCAGTTATTAAGCCACATTGTTTGTCATGTCAAATATTTAGCCTACATTGTTTCCAGTCTCAGTTATTTTGTCTGCATTGCTTTCTATGTCAATTATTTAACAAAATTGTTTCTCATGCCTAACATTTAGCCTAAATTGTTTCATGTTTCATTTATTTTGTCTACGTCCTTCCTTTTATCAAATATTTAGTCACATTGATTGTCATATCAAATATATAGCTTAGATTGTTCTCCGTTTCAATTATTTTGTAAACATTGTTTCCCCAGTCCATTATTTATAATAATTGTTTGTCATGTCAAATATTTAGCCTGCATAGTTCCCTAATTTATTTTGTCAGCATTGT